CGAGACTAGAAATATTTTTCTATCGGATCATAGCTAAAGACAAGTATTCGACACCGCAGTTGTACAATTTTAAACACTCATTTTACGGCAACAAACACGATTGCCTTCACCATATTGGGCATTTTGAATTCCTCCATGAACAAACATACCTTATTCTCATCTAGCATCCAAAATAGCAAAAGAAATTGTACTTACATTTTATCTCTATAAGTGTCTTGACTCATCCACCCGAACGTTTTCCTCGCGTTATCACCAGCTACCTGTCCAAATGACACAAAAAGTCATCAACAGCCGCGATATGCTCGCTACCTGTACGGGAGGTCACGTGATCCGAACGCACATCGTTTCGCGAAGAGCTCGCGCTAAGCCGATTATCCTTTGATCTTTCTCCGCGTTACTTGTCCTTCTCTATTTAGGTCCAAGATACAGACGACAAAATATGAAACCCCATCCAATTTAACTTAGTTTTGTTTACTTTTGATGGGATTCGATTCAGTTCCGCACACTGTATTTTATGTTTTACTTAAATTCGGTACATATGAACTCCACATTTCATTACTTCGTTGTATCACATTTTGATTTTAGACATTATTTTCGCCCTGACCGCCTCGACCCTGCACTTACTTCTCCTCAGTAGCCAGGTGTCACCCTTGTCGACCGGCCCGGAACCGTGCCCTCAAGACAAGCTGGTCCCAAATCTGTGGTGGTACCGTCCTTGCCACGGCTCACGGCCAGCTTATCTATATCCATGTGTACCAAAGGAATACATGGATTTGAATACTGTCAGGTGGCTGCTCTCCGAGCACCTGGTTCTCCTGAGAGAGGAAATTGCCGCACTACAGGATGCCATGGTACGTTTGTATGAATACCCGGTATATAAATTCTTAAAATGCACATGCTTTCTAACATGTTTCCATTGTCAGTGTGATATCGCCAACAGCAAGGTCTCAGAGAACAAAGAGCTCTTTATTTATTTATTTATTTATTTATTTTTTTTTTTATTTTACTCATCAAATATGTAAATGCGTGAGTTATAATGTTCGTTTCTGTCCGGTGAAGATTTCAATGTTAAGTTCGAGAATCTTGCGTGCGTTTTCATATCCATTGTAGTTATTTAGAAATCGGGTCTCAGGTTTTCATACACACAGCATAAATAAATTCATGTTTTATTTGGCTTGAACAAGGGAATAATTTATAGATGAAAACTTAATACAAAATGTAGGTAATAAAATCAAAAGTTTTTCCTATTTACTCAAGAAAAGAGAGCGGTTTCAAGGCTATGGCAATGAATTACACCGAATCGTGGAGTCAAGCCACCATGTCCCCGAAAATTTAAGACAATGCGATGACCTGTCTGCCTCACAAACTTCAAGAAGTCTCCGGAGAAGACCCGAGACTGACATTGAGGAGTATGATGAACATACAGAGGTAAGAGAGGCATTTCAACATGAAGTCCTATGAAATAACAAAACTAAAATCTATACATGTATTTCATACAGCAATCACTTTCACCTTCTCAACCTATGATATGTGACAGAAAAAGAAAAGAAATTAGGAAAAAACATCCACATTGGAGTTACTTAGCTTACTGTTTTATATGCATCTGAAATTTATTGAACCCATAAATGGCCCGATAAATATCATGTTCTAATTTCAAGTCTAAATCTAAAATCTTAATACATATCGCGAACAACCAAATCCGACTTTTTCAGAAACTACCTTTTCACACACACACACACACGCACACACGCACACACACACACATTAGTGCATTGTTTTGTAAAGAATTTAGAAGTTTATTTCATTCGAAAAAAATTATTAATAAAAGGGTCTGTAAACAACTTTTTTAATTATTTCAGCTTACCGATCTTCGCAAGACCTATGATTGTCTCGTGAGGTTTTCCGTTTACGTACACAACTTCAAGAGACCTGTGACAAGGCCACAAATGCGTTACATATCAACTAAAGTGAAGGCAGTCAAAAAACGTCTCCACCGCATTCTGTGCTACATGGCGGAAGTTATATTCGAAAGCGTGCCATCGGGGAATTTCCATTGGATACTTCTGACATACCCGCCAGGAGAGGTCAAAAGGTCAACATTCGCTCATTTCCCACGTGGCGAGCCGACAATGGTCAGATACTATAGAGAATGGAACGTGGTGCGTTTGCTGGGCGTCTATGTAGGCGGTTTGATTTCATAAAGGTCGGGTTCAGTTTTACGATTATAATATTTCAGAGTTTGAAATATTCAAATATTTATCTTAACCCTCTCCTAACATTATAACTCATATGTTCCCATCCATATTCGGTGTTACTATTCTTCCTTTTACCCGTTTCCATTCTTTTCATATGACATCAATTTGTTATTCTACATGTTGTTTATATGAGTTTTTTTTCTTAATTTTGCATATTTTAATTTACCATGTGTTTTTTTTTCTTACTTTACACTTTTTGCTTTCTTCTTATTGATCTGTTATTTTATTCAGTGTTTGGTGCTGTTTTACAGATGATAATGTCCATTTTTACATGTACGTTTTTACAACGTTGGCGCTATTCGTCGATGGTGCTCATAGGAATTGATATTATTATCTTAATATCTCAGTCGTCCAATTTATACATATGTTATGTTAATTACTTTTACTTCAACTTATATACAGTTTACATTTATTTTGTATGTATTTTTACTTACATACATTTATTCGAAAATAAAATTAAAGGAACTAATGATTGGAATGTCTTTTCGTTTGCAAACCCCTGTGACTCAAAATGCTTGGTGTCTAATTTAGTGAGTAGAGGCAACAGTACTAATAATATGTGGAGCTCATAGCCACAACAGGATGGGTATATTGTTCTCGACCCTACAAAAGAGACGATAATTTTGAATGCTCACACATTTATGTGTTGAAAATATAAATATTGGTTTGATGCGCTTGACCATTTAGCTGTGGCAATAGAAAAGACAATTATTTTCGTAGTCCCATTGTGCCGCCTCTGCCCATCCGTCTCATTGTGGAAATCAGATAAAAAATCCCGGGGTTTTCCCAATTCACTGACGCAGTGGCGGATTTAGGGGGTGCCAGGGGTCTTGATCCCCCCTTCGATTTCTGAAAAAAAACACCAATGTTCCCCTCTTGAAAGTGCAATTTCGACTAGCTAAATCATAGTTCTATACAGTACTGTCCCAAATGAAACACCCTCTAAAGCACCCTCTAAAACACCAAAGTTTTTTGAGCCCCAAACCCTACGTCAAGAGGGGGGGGAGGGTCGGCTTCGCATCCACGCCCCCCCCCCCCCCCCCCTTCAAATAATCCTGGAGCCGCCCCTGCTGGCTTACTCCAAGCAGAGAGAAAGAGAGAGAGAGATCAGGTGGTTTAGAAAAAAGAAATATAGCAAGGGGCCTAGAAACAAAGAGAGAAGGGGGAGGGAGGAGACTGGAGACTTGACCAATAGAATGGTTTCCCTGAATAAACCGTAAAATAGAATCTCTGTGTTACTTTTACCACAAACCTCTCTTTTGTACAGAAACAGTTGAAAGAGAACAAACATCCGTGTTGAGGAATGTCTTTCAGGGTCGCGTGTCATTTATTGTGGTATTCAATGGTGTTTTGAAAATGTAATATGCTACGTGTGCATAAACATGAGTCTCCCCCATCTCAAAGGGTGTATCAAAATACATGTATGTGGTCTTCAAGTTTCTTCTTTTTCTATTATGATGAGCCGTACATTGTACTTATATCCCAAAGTTTTGGAAATTGGTTTTTAACGTACTGTCATTTATACCCGTGTGTGCATTCGGCATTAATTTCAAAATATAAAATACTGAATTGTCCGATGCCGCTAGACGACAATTTTAAAAGCAAACAGTGTGGTAAACAAGTATGGATACACAGGGTAAAAGGGTTTGACTGTTCAACTGGTAGGAAAAGTTACTTAAGATATAAAAATATCAATTTTTAATGTTAAAAATCCACCCATCTAGATTCATTCGATATCTTAAAATCAAATTTCAATTATAATACTTGAGTTATAGCCTACATTTCATTATTTAAGCAAAAATAGCCAAACAAAAAACCTGTCGGTACCCTTTCATATTTTTCACAATATTTATTATTTTTATCAGCATGTTACATTAATCTTCTCTTGACAACAAATGTAATCTTTTACTTCAAACAGTTCTAAAGATGCTTTCATAATGAACCATTTTTCCTAAATGTCTTTATAACAGTTGAATAACAGAATGGAAAAAACGTAAAATGAAGAAAAATAATTCGTTTCTAGCGAGAGTCAACGTGTTTTTAGACATCTACCTATGAGGCAGGAGATCTAGGCCCTTTTAAAGGATAATATCAGAGAGTGTTGACTACACACCCTACAAGCAAGTCAGTTAGCCCCGGAAGTTACTTTTTGTACCTCCTTTCCACAAGAGATAAGAAAAGATCTATTTCATCATACGAAGTGCTGTTTATACATTGGGCGGTAACTGACCAATACAACTTGACCTTGTCATTTATGATTGGGGAAAATTTTCAGACACTATGGTGTTGTATACTCAAAAATCACAAAGGGTTGTTACTCGGCAATTGCTCTGAAATGGAGGATAAAATTACCTATGGAATGTGAAATGCATTTCTGTAGAGTGACTTAAGGAAACAATATCGTAAATTTGACAATAAATTTGACAATAAATTGGGATTTGGGTATTGAAATTTCAAGTAGGCGGATACATGTGTTTTGGCATAACGGAAGTATCGTATTTCTTCTTACCTTAACTAATCTACTTGAATGTTTCAAGTATCATTATCGATTTATGTTACCACTATGTCCAGATCAGTGTTTTTAATGCATTTTTGGGGAAAAAAACGGGTAAATAAACGGGATTTTAACGAGTGCAAGAGACGGACGGTTTAAAATGGAAATTCTTTTGGGCATACAATACGACGGTGGAGGGTAGAGTCGCGGCACTCCCTGGGGAAAATTAATATAAGTAAATAGAATGTGTGCATGATCTGGAAAGAACAAGCATGCATGGTGTGTAAGGCATGAAGCACAAGGAAAGTCAGACAGATTTATTTCATTCATATAGTATAATGGTAGAAGTGGGAGTGGGCGGATACACTGGATTATGTTTGTGCAATGAGGATACCTTGATCAATGAACGATAGTTCCATAGGGGATTAACCTGTCATTTCAAAAATTACATATCCTGCTGTGTAAGCACTGTCCTATGCGTCAGCTTACGGTGCAGGTCAGTTTTATACATCAAGTTTACAGTTAGTAAATTTAATATGCTCAGCTGAACACCAACTTGTGCATTTGAACTAGTGTGTCCAGATAGAGCCATAGCCATATTTGAAAGCGTTTCATGTTATTTCACAGTTGCAGTTGCCTTTAACAGAAAAGAAGACCCTTGACACCAGAAAATATTTTTAAAGATTGAAAGGAGAGATATTTCCCCCAATAAATTAATTTTTTCGAAACATGCACCAATATACAACATCACTGACAACAGTGTACAATAAATAAAGATTTGTCATTGTAATGTATACTTAGATTAATTAAGATAAAATACGTTTAAAATGTTTCTACACTTTTATATGTATTTGTAATACATCTCTTTTGTAATTATATCTTTCACCAATGCTGTTAATAACTTTGAAACTACACTAAACGGATACCAGTGATTTAAATTTGAAAAAAAAATTCAATCACAAATCTTGCGGCCCAGAGTCATACAACACGAATTCGCCTTTGAAGATGCTTATACTTTTGACTTTTAAATTGGATCTTTTTTTATCAAAAACGTTTTTGCTGGACATCGGTTAATATTTGACTTGATATGTTATTGAATTTTTTAGTTCTGTATCTCACAAACTTTCACCCACAGGAAAATTATAAAAGAAAAAGTACATTAAAACAATACGTAAGGTTAATACCCGTTTTTAAATGATTGCAACAAAATGACAATAATCTCACAATGATAAAAAACAGAAATAATACAAATAAAAAATAATAGAAATAAAATTAATACTGAAAAAGTATTCAGTAGGTCTGCAACCTACTTCCATGACACAAGTCTCGCAAACACAACAACGGATAAATATCTTGATATTCAAGTACACAGTTGACTAGAGTATTGTGAAACAAAATTTGTTAAAAATTTGTCTAGAATTTCATCACCAGAACAGAGTCTTATGTTTCATCACCAACCATTAACAATAAAAAGAGACCCGGAAGAGCCACGGGAAAATCCACTTTCTTTTTTCTATCCCCCTCTCTCTTTTTCCTCACTTAACTGCAGATCCTCCACAGCACAAGAGTTTAGTGACTTAATTACCTTAAAACCAATTTGACTAAAAATTGATGTCGCCTTACATGTAGAAGCATGACATTAATTAGGATCCGCCTCAGTCCCCACCTTAAAGTGCTCTAAATTTGTTGTTTGAAACCTAAACACCCCCCTTACTTAGCCCCAACATGTACTTTTCAAGCAAACTTATCACTTTCCATTCCATCAGATATCTCTCTGTCTTTCCTTCAGGTATCGAAATATCTGCCTGTCCTTTGAAATCACCCCGGGGGAAAGTGAGCAGTTCCCAGCGAAGCTGTCTCTCGGCACTGGTACCATAGATGAACTCTTTTAGATTGCACAGGATCTCGAGTGTTTGTTTCAAAATGTGCTTGGATGTCACCGATTTCTCTTTCAATTTTTCGCTGAGGGGCATTAATGGATCTGCTGAAAACGTCTTATCCATGTGATGGACGTGAATGGCATAACTGCTGAGGCAATCGTACGCTTCGCTCAACAAGGGAAGCTTGAAATGGAAAAAAATAAATATATTTTGATATAGAAATGCGCGTCACAGAATTCTGTTCATTCGTGCATCAGATGGATTTTGCATCTGCTAAGGCGATATGAGAAACATAAGAACACGACACGTTCCAGCCAGAAATGTTCTAAGCAACGCGTGCACGTGGTAAGTAAAAAAATTCCATCAAACAGATATTTTATATAAAATCCTACCTGATATGTTTTGTATGCATCGAGGCTGGTCTCTCCCCACTTTTGGAGACTCGTATACACGTCCATTGCGGCTAGGTGGTTACACTTCATAAGACTTTCGGGAACAGCATTTTGAGCAAAATAGGTGATTGTTTCGTTCGAATACCAAGAGAAATGCTCGGATTTCTGAATAGTGAAACAAAATGCATTATGCTTGAAGAATCTCAGATTTCGACGGTATTTGAATTATAGAGTAGTATATAATGAATGCTTCAAAATTTGTAAGTGTTTGATCTTTTTCCTTTACTATTTAGTTTATCATTGTATAACTTTGAATTATCAGTACTTGACTATTTAACTAAAATTAATATTTCAGCCTACAAATGTGAAAAAAAAAACAGTTCGCTGTAAAATATCAATAGTCCAATCAGTTAAGAAACAAAACAGCAAAACCAACTTACAATCATTTTCTGCAGTTCAAGAGCGTGTGCCCGTGTCTGCTTGGAATGTTCGATTACTTCATCGCGAAGAAGGTGCAACTCTCGGTGGACCTTCGGAAGTTCCGGGCCTCCGGCTACAGGCGCTGTGCCATGGCAGGGCCAGTACCACCAAAGGGACTTGTCCGGCTCGTGAGCACGTCGCCGACCCAGGGACCTCGCGTCAACGGAGTTACTATCGCCAAGTATGAGGACAGCAACAATGAGGATGTTAAATCGGAGGAGTACACCTATTACAGTAACAGACGTGAATTAACACGAGGCGATATTAATCTGTGTCACCGGATATTTCTATGAAAACTGTCGAATGAATTATTTAAAAGGCAGAAATACAGACATCAGAACACGCCACGAATTTTTGTTGACTTATATTCAGAATTAATCTTAATCTTAACTACGAGAGTGTATGCTACGAAGATATGATCGCAAAAAAAAAAAAAAATGAAAACATGACGATTACATGTTACTAAAGATGTCCATTTTCTTTTGAGGAATTATCTATACCAAATGTGGAACGTTTTTACTTTCAAAATAGCGAAAGCTAATCTTTAGAATCACATTTGGATATTAAACATGCTGAGAGTGTTTTAATGCACTAATGTACTATTAGAACACCTCACAACAGACATCTGTCACGAATGACAAAAAAAAAAAAGAAAAAATATGAATAGATGAGATAAAATAGCTTTTAAAATTTTGTATACTTACCAGAAAGTTCCATCGGCAGAAATATCGCTTCTTTAGGATTTAAAACAGATTCTTCAGGCACTTTGTCGATTTTAATTTTTAATAACTAGCTCTTCGAACTTTGCGTCAGTGTTTTCTGCGTCCAAAACTATATTCAGCTTCACTCTAGCTGGTCAAAAAGATATTCCTCCAATGGTTGATAAGAGAAAAAAGTTAAGCCCGGTTTAAACTTGTCCTTGATTTTCAGTTATGTGGATGGACAAATGAACAGCAATATTTATATGTTGTCTGGATGCAAATGTGAGTATATATTTTATTTATAGCTCACCATCGAATTTGGTGCATCAGGAAGGAATTAAGCAATACTTCACATGCATACGTCTGTGTACATAAATACGGTAAGGTGAGAGGTTCATATTTTTTCTACATTTATTTAGTTTTCAATTAGTTCCGGCAATCTTGTCGTCCGGTCACGGTTGGCGACGATTTTGGCGATTCACGTGTCTAGCAAGTAGGAAATCCCAACCTGCGGGGAACTCAGAAAAGCAGAGGCATGAATGAACATGAAAGAAGAACATTCCACTTTCAAGGAAGAAAAATGCTAGGTGCTAGAGCGCGTGACAGGAACCATAAGCAATTGTTAAAAAAAAGAACAGTCTGAACGCAGTATTTTTACGTGCTCTGCACTCCTTCACTGCCCATAAATGGTTGTTTTATTCTTCCATGAAGAACCAGAGACTGCCGAGTAAACTTTCCAAAACATTTCATCAGGATCGCGATCAATAAAGGCGGATATCCCGGCGGGCGCGGTCGCTTCCCCTCTATCCCTTAAACCGTGTAATTGCCCCTCTCCCTCCCTCCCTCCCTCCTTCCCTCCCTCTCTCAACAGTAAGCATTAGCATTCACACGTGCACGTGGTCGTGTCTGAGTGGGCGCTTGGGTGGATGCAAAATGCGTATTTGAAGAAGCGTGCCGTAAAATGAATCGGAATGGGACAAATTGGCACAAAAGACAGTCGAAATAAACGTTTAAATTTTGAATAAATGATTCATTCGCTTTCACGTGAGGTTCACAATAATATTCATATGACGCAAATTTCAACCTGGTATAACGTGCATGTTTCTTTTGTACACATAAGGATGTGGTGTTTTGAGAAAAGATGCATATAAAAAACGTCCACAGATGTCTGTTTGTAGCTGCCAGCATAAATTGCAGGTTTGATATTCATGAATTTCCGTTCAAAAGTTAATTGTTCTCGTTATTTTTCGCTTAGAGTACTGAAATAGAAGTCATTGTGAAATAAAGGAATTAAGTCATTGTTTGGGGGGGGGGGGTAAGTCCTTCCTTCTGTCTTCCGGCTCATTTTATTATAATGTATTAATATGTAATTAAAATACCCAAAAAAAAAAATTCACTTTGAAAATATAATTATAGAATAGCCGATTTGATGTTAAATGGGAATTTGTGTATTTATATTAGAGAAATATGGATAACTACTCTTAACTTTTTAGACCCAGACCTTTATTTCTACTGAAGACCCAATAGAAAAACTGTAATTTAATGGATTTATTTTACTCATTGGCAATATAGGCCTGCAGGGACGACGCGTCTTCTCTCCATCTTTCAATCCATTGCGGGATTAAGTGGTCTTGCTTTCACCGAGGATCATCTATTCGCAATTACACCTGTAAAAGTACAATTAATAAAAGTTCATAAAAGTGGATTACTGATCATTTAAACATATGATTTTTTTTTTTTTTTTTTTTTTGTAAAATATTTTCAATCCCTATACGTACAGTATTGCACATGTATACTAAGAATCCGACGTAGTCTTCGTTTCGGTAATGCCATTTTAAGTTCAGCTTGACACAGTTCTGGCAATTATTCATTTCCATCATGTTGTTCTAAAGAATTGATACATTTTTATTTGTTTACCTTCTGAATAAAAATCTCTCTCTCTCTCTCTCTCTCTCTCTCTCTTTTACGGATGTCGTCAACTTTTAGGGTCACAAGCCAGACTTTTGCGGTTGTCTAAGTCCGCCTTCTCTGATAAAAAAAGAGCTATTAAAAAACCTATCCTTTAAGGGTTTCAGTGGTAACAATAATCATTTTTTCTGTAAGGTCTTTAAGGACACATCATATTATAAACAGCAGCCAGAAACTCATGTTTTCCTTTACTCCCTTAAAGATGAGATAACGTTACTTAAACTATAAAAAACAAGCAAACACCGAAGTCAGACTATTAATATCTTCTAAATAGCTTACCCATAAAAACTCTCTTAAAGATGACGATATACTTGTATTGTCATTAAATCTGACTCAACCAAAGTTGGAGATTACATCAAAGATAATCACCAGATGCATGGTGGCAGGCTTCCACTTTTTACGGTAGTTTTAAACATTTTTTTAAATTTTGCACCTATGAAAATGCTAGACTATATTTCGACAAGCTACTTTGGGTGTTCGACAAAATGGAAATTCAACCTGGTGTATAACATGCGTCTTTAAGAAATCTTTTGTGAAGAATGTCTTCGACATAGATCAAGTTTCTTTTTAAAAAAAATTGGTTATCTTTAATATTCATGTATCATGCAAAAATTCGTTGATTCTTAGATATCTTATTAAATATCTTAATATTCTCGTGGTAGGCCTACTTAATTTTGCAAAATGCATGAAAAAAGCACAAACAAGTTCAAAATCCAAGATTTTCTCTTTTGCAAAAAAAAAAAAAAAAAAAAAAAAAGATCAATGGACATAGACTCTTTGTTTAATGATTGTAGGATATTGGATTTCACTTTCAATTTCAAAAAACAACATTTGGATACCTAAATATAAATTACACAACTAGAAAATAACATGAATCTCAATATTTAACTAACTAGATTGCTTCTTAGAATGAAACACGGAATTCCCATAAATGACTATAACATCGTTGAAAATTGCATCATTTTGGCAGACGTCATAACATCTTTTCTGCAAACACTAATTCCCATGCCTCAATAATTTCAAACTACAAAAATGGGAAATCATCTGAGAGACGGCATTCAAAATCATAATATCATAATAATAATAATAATGACTAAATAAATAAATAGATAGATAAATAAAAAACAATGGTGCTCCTGAAGCAAATACCAAGCCCTTCTCTTTTCTTCTCTTCCTATGACAACTTTCACTTAAAAGAATGTAGCATGGGGTTCCATCCGTGTATGGGAAAATATAATATCGCAAGTACAGAGAACCACTGTTCTGAAAAATTAACGAGTGTGCCGCTTCTGATGACAACAAAGACATCAGGTGAGCGGTGCATTCCAAACATATTTCACAACCTAATAGCAAAGTTCCTTAAAACTTTGAGAAATGTCCACGGAAGTTAAACTGTAATAATTTTCAAAGAGAAGCATTTGAAGTTAAGTAGACGAATTCAGGTGATCACTATCCCGGTATTAATGGGGCTTAAACTAGTGCAGGTGAACTATGGATCTGACAAAGGAATCCATTTAGGTATCGAAATATTGCTGGGGTTATTCAGCTAGTTTTTGATGTGTATTCAAGTCTGCATATTAGGCCTATCTATTCAGGTGGAAACACATGCAACAGTAGCCTATGTCATTTAAATATAAAGCTCCACGTTCGTGTCAGTAAAAATTATATCATAAAATTGCAAATTCATGGCCGTTACTTATGGTCAAACACTCCTACTACATGTAGTTAACATTATGGCAGTAGGTATTTGATATAAAAAATAAATGACATGATTGTTGGATATGTCCTGTCTCATAATATTACGTAAAAGTGTAGTTATATTACAGGATATTGTACAGATCCCCCAAAAGAAGATGTCAGTTGTTATTTTGATCATAACGATATTTATTAAGCAGAAAAAAAATTGTCCAAAGGAGTCCATTTGAATAAATTAAATATGTATGCGATAAAGAAAGTTGTAGAGCTATTTAAGCAAAGAAATCTCTCCGTTATTAGGGGCACTTGCCGAAGAAGTTTGCGAGGCATCCCTTATATTTTCTCTGCACTTAATTGCGATTTTGTGCTGTCCATTTTTCAAAATTTGAGTGCATTTATAAAAATGAGACTCGCACAGGATTTAGGATTTTTACAGAACATGCCCTCGATAACCACATGTTTGTGTTATTATCCTTCTCACTTCCGTCTCTTTTACCTGGTAAAATGACAAAAGCAACTATGGCATCAGGGTTCAAGATTAACAACAGATTGAAATGTGACACCTGGAGTAACACAGAAGCACAAATAAGTTTCTATAAGCGTGGAATACATAAACAGCGATCTGCCGAGCACATGTCCCAAGGGCGACATACCAGTACTTTTAGACACTTCCCCCTCCCCCGACTTCAGGCGCCGGTCGTACAATAACCTGTTTAAACCAATATCGAATTTGAGCCTGAACGATTTTTTTTCACTTCCTGGTCGTTCAAGCCTCGCCTTGCCTAAACTGACAAAGGCCTCCTTTTGCCCCCCCCCCCCCCCTCCATAGCACTTGTTATTGTTTCAAGCAGTTTATCATATTAAATGTATGCTCTTTACAATCTTGGATTATCCCAGTACGTTATCAATCATTTATCTCGGATGTCCCTGCTCATCTCGAGTGAACTGAGGTAACTGTATCATGGCTTTGATAACTGATACTAGGGTATCTCTTAACAACGTGCAGTGAGCTTGATAAACCACACCGCAACCCCCTCCTTACATAAGTCGTGCACTTTCACGTGACTATACTATTGTTAAATGGAACGTTTTTTTTTCTATAGAGATGTTCATGAATATTTACAACTGCAAATACTTCCTCCGAGTGATGTTTTCTTGATGAAATGAAAAGGGGTTGAGTGGGTGGGGAATAGAGGGGTGCCTTAGATTAAAGCAAGGATGCACACCTTTAAAAAAATTTTCGTTTCTTTTTTTTTTTTAAGCTTTCGCCTCATTGTTTTTTTTTTCTTTGTTCCACGATATTCATTTTATTCTTTTTTCTCTTCTCAAATGTTTAGCGCGTCACACACAGTTGTCCTTTTAACCCAAACGCCAAACAATCAAACAAAGCCAGGCAACGGGTACTTAGCCTACAATCTTCTATAGATTTCGTATTGATTTTACCTCTGTGCATTATCAAAACTTACGAAACAATCACCAGACACTTATTTGAGCAATGATGGGGCGTATTTGTGATTTTAAAGGGGGTGGGGTGATGTTGCATAAACGAACAGGAGGGGCAGGTGCTGACACGTGCATGTAAAGTGCAAGAGTGCTCTCACGTGTTCATATTTCATATAAAGCAGCTCCACGGGTCTGCTCACATTGTCATAGTTGTCGCACAGGTAACACACATAGGACCTGTTGAGACGTGTCGGGTTACAGGTGCAACCCCAAACGAAATATTCTCGTTCACATAATGCAGTTTGTCGCAGTGGTGTTGCTGAGTTTCTGGGCCTGCTGTAGCCACGGTGCCGAGCTGCACAGGCTGCACTGGTCAGAGAACGTCCAGACAAAACTTGACCCCCTGACTTTGAAGCAGCATGCTCCTCCGTCGGGCAACATTGTCCAGTTGGCCGAAAAACTGGGGGCCAAGACACTGGTCAAGCTTGTCAAGGATGCAGGACTTCAAGGTGCACTGTCAGGCAAAGGTAAGGCGACAGGGCCGAAACAGGCCGACATGCTTTTGCAGAGGTAGGGCTTGATCTTTAATGAATAGAATTGGGGAGAGCATCTCAGTTGTTTCCTCTGTCTACAGCCAGAATACTCCATTTTGATCCAACAATTGTATTGTAGGGGTTACAGAGCAGGAATGCATTCAGTCATTGTTTATTGTTAGAACATAACATTAGCCGTAATGTCTTTCATGTTTCATATCTATGACAATAGATAAATAGTGTCAACAAAAGCTTGCATAAGCAACATTGTGTTAGGTGCGACTGCTCTGCTGTGACAAACTCCGATTAAGCTAAAAAAAGGAACACTACTCAATCATATCAAAAAAATGAGATAATCATTAAACACACACAAAAAAAAAAAAAAACAATTAAAAACATCAATACAAGCCACATTCAGCTTACAAAACATATTCATATCAACTATCTTTTCTCCGATTCTAATTTCTGTGAAATAAAATGAAATTTCAAAATTTGATAATTTCTAGGCCCTTTCACCGTGTTTGGGCCGACTGACAAGGCGTTTAAGGCTCTACCAAAGGCAGTGTTAGATCTGCTGATGGCGAACAAAACGGCGCTGCAGGAAGTCCTGAAATATCACGTTATACTTGGGGACATTTTTTCCAGTCAGCTGAAGAACAACCTGATTGCCAGTTCACTGCAAGGTGCCCCGATCAGGGTGAACATTTACAAAGACGGAAAAGTGCGTGATTTTGTTACTTATTCAGAGATGTTCAGAATTTTGGCTATTAGATTGCAATTTTTAAGTGCTACATTGCAGGCAAAGTTTTTCGTGACACAAAGTTAAAAACCTATATCTTGCACCAACACAAGCATGTGTTAAGAGTTAAAATCTTATTTCTTTATTTACCAACAGTCAGTGTAAATTGTACACTTCCATATTTTCTGTCTGTGTATTAATCAGGTGATCACTGCCTCAGGGTGCGAGGTCATCTTGCCTGACCAGAACGCCACCAACGGGGTTATTCATGTGGTGGACAAGGTCCTGTTCCCAGTCCCAGTGGGTACAATAGTTGGTACGGCAGTGGCGAACCACGACTTCAGGACGCTCGTTTTGGCCGTAACTAAGGCTAGCTTGACCGGTGCATTATCAGGTGAGAGAGAAGTACCTCGGCTAACCGCCGTGCTTTCATTTTTCTGTTTTCGTATCGAATTTGTCGTGACGTTCTTAAAGTCGTCTCCCATTTATTTTAATAATTTAACATTGGTGTATTTTATTAAGACTTCAGAATAAACTGGAAGGGAGATCCTAATTAAAACTTTTCTTTTGTGAAGATTGGGAATTTCTTTGAAAACGGAAGATAATTATTAGCCGAAACATAGTGCCTTCAGATACATAATTTAACAAAAATTGTTCTAATTTTCCAAAAAAAAAAAAAAAAAAAAATTCATCCAGAAAGATAATTTGTTCCATATCTTTACAGCTAAAGGACCCTTCACCGTATTCGCCCCTACAAACGAAGCATTCAGTAAGTTACCTCCTGGAGCATTTGACCGACTTCTCCACAACGTCACCGAGCTGACTCAGGTCCTCCTATACCACGTTGTCAACGGGTCATTCTACAGTGCAGGCCTGTCCAACGGAGATGTCAAGACGTTGAATGGAAAATCTGTCACTATCAAGCTTAACCACGACGGTGAGAGTTTGGAAACTTATCCGCGTGTTGTTGATCCAAAACATATTCACTACATTAGTCGTAAAAATATATTGAATTTTCCATCACGCCCGTTTTGGATGTAATTATGTGAATTATTCAATTTTAAAACCGAAATTGTGCATTGTCACTACAACCTCTTAAACCTGGCCAAATTCATTGTAAATGCAGTATTCCCTGTCAACATCTCATCAAATAATATTTAGAGTCATCAAAACTAAATAATCGCTGAAATAACGAATATGCTGTAGTGCATAGCATTTCAAAATCCGTTATTTTTTAAAGCAGTTAAGTTGATTTTAAAGTTTCATAAACCATCCAAAATTACCATGAACATTTTATTTTAATCCTGTCTCCAGCTGGTGTATTGGTCAACACCGCCAGAGTCGTAATAGCTGATGTTTCCACCACTAACGGTGTTATCCATGCCATTGACGAGGTTCTCCTTCCTCCCGCGCTTCGGCAAAAAATAATGGAATCACACACCAAGAACCTAGCTGAACCTATTGAGAACCTAGATCAACTAGACGAGCATCGGGCAAATCCGACTGAAAACATTGTTCAGCTGGCTACGAAGTTGGGTGCTACAACGTTGGTCAAATTGCTTCAAGATGCTGGACTCGTAGGAGCATTGGGTGGACCAGGTAGGACCTTGCTTGCCATTCACAACAAACTGGGAGAAATGGCGTCAAATCATGTTTTCTTTTATTCTCGTCACGCACAAAAGGTTCCTTCTTCTTCGACGGAGTAATTTTAAGATAGAGTAATAGACCATTTGAATAAGGGATCACTTTCATATAGTGTTTTTGTCAAGTTAGCGAAATATCCTAAGCATCTGGCGCAAAAGTACAGGCGTGAACTCGCAGACAGTGCTGGTTTCTTTTCACCATGCCTCAACTCCTTTCATAGAACATGGTTTCTATGAAGAGACTTAAAACTTTTCAGATATCACTGGTATATGAATCTTCATGTGGGTAGTCATGGTTGTGCATCAAGATAGCATTTATTAAGACGTTAAGAACTATTTATTTACATTGCCTTATTTTTCGTATTTTCCCACAAATTCTAGGGCCGTTTACAGTATTCGGTCCCTCAAACCAGGCATTCAACGCCTTGCCAAACAAAGTCATTGACCAGCTCAAGTCAAATGTCACTGCTCTGCAGGAGGTCCTCAAGTACCACGTGATCAGTGGTGACGTATTCTCCAGCCAGTTGAAGAATGACATGACGGCAAATTCCCTACAGGGTTCTCCCATCAGGATAAATATCTATGGAACCGACACCAAGGTATGCAGTGTGCGAAAGCCGTTTTAACGGAATAAACTTTATAGAATGATGATCGTGTTAGTTTGAAACGCCATTATCATATAAAAACGTCTGGCGTATGAGAATTTTTTAATCTTTCTCCTGAGTTCTTCCTCTTTTTTGAACTACAAGCTAGCTTCGCGTGCGTTTCAGGTTATTACTGCAGATGGCTGCAAGGTTGATCTTGCTGACCAAAATGCCACAAACGGAGTCATCCACGTAGTTGACAAGGTTTTGTATCCTATTCCATCCGGGACAATCGTGGATCTGGCCAAAAGTGACAAACACTTTAGTACCCTGGTATCATTGGTAGTTAAAGCGAATTTGGCTGGGACACTTTCAAGTAAGTTGAACCAATATTGGGTTGATGGAGACATTTGGACACCTTCCCTTAATTTTTTCACAATGTAACGTTTAATTTTCACTTTTATTATTATTATTATCATTACATCCGAAATATATGTTTTTCATATGTGTGATTACCGTTTCAAAGCAGGGACGTGGTCCTTCGATGTTTTAGCTCTCGGTTCTTTAGTTAAACCGCCTTCAGGGTAGTTCTTTTTTATTAGAAATCAGATAACTTGTGTCACCGGGTGTCTAGATGAACCAGCGATCAGAATGTTTAAAGCAAAGTTAGTTACAACTGTTTTATGATCCTCTGTTGATGCGTGTAGACCGATTCCGGTCTCAGATACCCCACGTCTGAACACACCATAACCAGAATCTTTACATCATTTAACCTGTACTTCCCTAAGCGACTTTCTTTTTTTACAGGTGCCGGGCCATTCACAGTTTTTGCCCCCACTAATGAGGCGTTCGAAAAACTACCTGCAGACGTTCTTAACAAGCTCGTGAGTAACGTAACGGCCCTGGGGCTTGTGCTCAGGTACCACGTTGTTCAAGGGACCGTCTACAGCGCCGGCCTCGTTAACGGAGAAATGGTGCCGACGGTTAATGGAGCCAAGCTGACCGTGAACATTAGTTCTTCTGGTGAGTTTCGTGTGTTCTCCCCCCCCCTCCCCCACCACTTTGCAAATCAGCAAAATTAAAAAAAAGGTGCAATATTACAGGCACGACGAATCGACTTGTTCGATGAGTGCCTATTTCCTTGTGTATGTTCGTTCGTTATAAAAAAGGTGTTGTTTTTTATTTTGGATAATTATAATATTTGGAGTTTTAAAAGGTTTTACAAATGAATCATTTTACATTGGTCAATCGAATCCCAGTAAATAGAGAAAACCCAGTATAACAACACTTGGGGAACTTGATTGATTGTTTTCTTTTACAGCTGGTGTCCTAATAAACAGTGCTCGAGTGGTGATGGCAGATTTATCCACCACCAACGGCGTTGTCCATGTCATAGATTCGGTGCTTATACCCCCAACGATGTGGGAAGACCTCTTGGTGCCAGCAGAATCATCTATTGATGAAATAGGTAGGTTCGGTGAGAGCGGCCCATTTGCATTTTGACTTCACACATACATACATGCACACACACACACACTTATAAATCGCGGACTTCATTTCTACTGCACAGTGCTTTTTTTTAATAATTAGGGAATTCTTATGTATAAGTGATCAACATTACTTTTTATTTAAAATATGTATCGAATCTTTCATAGGCCTATAATTATTAAAAATGAAAACTAAGTAAATGAAGAATTATTCTAAACTGACTTTAAGTTTTATTTTGTTTTTATTGTTAATATTCAATGTCCCCCTCCATTTATTCTTTTTTTGCTTAATAGAAGAAACGAACACTGCAGAGTCGCCGAGATTCAATATCTTAGACCTGGCAGACAATTTAGGCGCGCACACTTTAGTACAACTAGTTCAGACCGCTGGTCTGGGCTCTGCGTTACGATACGGCAAAGGTAAGTCGATGTCGGACCCAACTTTTACAAAGCAAGTCTTCTGTTTTTTTTCTTGTACCAGCTGAACATGTTTCAACCTTTTCTTTACTTTAGAGATACTCTTTAGTTTTTTTATGAAAAACCTTTATCAAGAGTGGTCTTGGTGGCAATAGTTCCAAGTTTAAGAGCAATATTTAATAAAGCTTTTCTTGTGAAAAGCCGTCACCACTTCGGAATTACATTCTGACCTCTGGGTCTGGTAGTCTGTTACAGAATTACTTTCATTTTGTAGACCATTTTAGGGGAAGTGGTGTCTATATAGAGGTGAGGTCCCAAACCCAGAATCTCAGGGTGTCTCACAAAAGGCCCATACAATATCTCACCCTAATACAACCTCGCCCTTCCTTTTATAGGTCCCTTCACAGTGTTTGGTCCAAGTGACGCAGCTTTTAAAAAACTTAAGCCAGAGATAGTGATGCACTTATTGTCCAATGTGACAGCTCTTAAGGAGGTGCTGGAATACCACGTGATTGCTGAAGACGTGTACTCCAGTCAACTAAAGAACGATCTGGTTGTCAAGTCAATGCAGGGAGCCGGTGTGAGAGTGAACATATATGGAGAGGTATAGGCCTTCCACCCAGTTGACTACCTCCCTCCCCTCTCTCTCTCTCTTTCTCGCTCTCTCTCTTTCAAGTACCTCTATGGATCAAATCGGATCGTGCAGATATTATTTAAATACATAACCTAACTGTCTTTTTGAAAATAAAAATACACTGAATGAATGCCTTTTAGATTTTTCAAAATTTTCTCCTGAACACCTTCAGAAAATAACCGCCTCTGGCTGCCCAATATCCAAGGCTGACCAGAACGCCACAAACGGCGTCATTCACGTGCTGGACTGCGTTATGACCTCAATCCCTACGATGAACGCCGCGGAATTGGTGGCTAGTTTAAAGGATTTCAAGACTCTGAAACTAGCGTTGCAACATGCTGGGCTGGTTAATACACTATCTGGTAAGGTTTCTGTTGAAATTGTAGCAATAAGTGTTATATTTTTCGATGTCCTCTGTAAATCTTATGGCTGCTGTTAATTTTTTTCAGTATAAAAATATGAAAAGTAAACTTAAGAGGTGAGCTGCCATTCAAAGTGACTTTCTAACCTCTTCTTGAAGTGGGATAGGCTTCTTGGCGTTATGGTTTTTGTAGCATCTTCATGGTTTTTAAATACTTGGTAATTAAAGAAGTCCGGATCGTGTGAAGGGGGCTTTTTGTTCCTTCAAACTAGATATTCAGATTATATCATTAACGATTTCTCATCATCTGTATGAGGTCTCAGACCATGTCAACGAACGCTACTCTTTTCAAATAATACTTGTAAAATGCGAATTCTTATATTGGCTCATTCATATATGTACATTTTTTTTTAATTAAGGTTCCGGGCCTTTCACGATTTTCGCGCCCACAGATGTCGCATTCAACGCACTGCCCCCTGGTATGTTGGATCATCTGCTGCACAACGTCACAGCACTGACGCAGGTTCTGACATACCACGTGGTCAAGGGCACCTTTTACAGCGCAGGGCTGAAGAGTGGTGACGTCAGAACGGTCAACGGGAAATCAGTCAAAGTTGATGTGCAAGCTGATGGTAAATTTCCCCTCTCTCTCTTTCTAGATCTTTGTCAGACCTTTTCTTCGCTGCGACCCAACCTACTTAGACAATGTGGAGCAGGTTAACATGTTTTTCGTTTTGTAGATACTTGCCAGTATTTCGTTTTTTGTCCCTTGAACGTGGTTTAGATCATGGCTCTCGATCTCAGACACACAGACCTTCTCTTCTCTATTACCATTATTGTGATAAAGATTGACATTTCTGTGATTAAATAATAGAATTACAGTAAGTTGAGATGTGATCAATATCCTACGACATCTCTTTTGCTTTTTTCAGGAATGATCAAGTTGAACGGAAACAGCTATGTGGTTTGGCCTGACACGAGTGTCTCAAACGGCGTTATCCATTCCATAAATCAAGTTCTGTTGCCTCCAACGTTTAAAGACATTTCACATCCTTCAATGAAGAATTTGATAATGACAAATAAATTTACAAAATTATAGCATATATCATATAAGGACACTTCCCCTGAAATTAAAATATCAACGCCAAGTCGACGCATATAATGTTAGTGAGTTAAAGGTTGGACAAATAAAACAATCTGTTGAAGTTTAACACGGCGGTTGCAGCAGATACTACTGCTTGGCTTGTGAACTAGGCAAGAACACCTAGACTAAGTGACAATCAATGAATAGACGGTACAATTTAGCACCGAATCTGCCACTTTAATTTGTATATAGATGTGCATTGTAGAGGACCGACTCGTCGTGTCAACAATGGGTGTAAAAATTGCAGGCGATTTATTTTTAGTGGAAGGGTTGGCAGACCCAAGCCCAGATAACTAATTGCATGATTTCAAGTACATGCCAATTAAATCTTATCTTTCAGGGCACGAATAATAAAAAAAAAAGATGGAGATCATTAAATAATGTTATGTAACAACAACAACAGCCTATCAAATATAGAGTACAGAATATGTACAGCATCTTGAATAAAAGTAAGTGTCTTACATACTATTTGAAATTACATTTTATTCATTTTTTTTCTTTTTCTTAAGTTATCCATTACAGGTTTTCTTGTTCTACTCTCCTGTGTTCTTTTCTTTGTTTTTTCTTCAAAATTAGGATCTAGCAAATTACATTTATCTTGATAACCACCAAATGAAAATAGACCTATTATGATAACCGCAAAATATCAGAACTCATGCAGGTTACCCCGTGCCCCTTCTCCCACTCTGCAAGTCAAGTTGAGGCCACTGTTGTTACTGATATCCCCCCGGGGACACTGGTCTGAAATATAAGAAAATCAGATTATAGCCTATTTATAGCCAGGGGGGTTCGGGGGGTTCGAAAGAACCGCCCCTTTTGCTGGGAAAAGGTCCACTCTGGGTATAATTTGATCTAGGTACATGAAGTTTTTAAGGGAAAAGGTCCACTTTTTCAGAAAAAGGACACCCCTTTTGAAATTGCTGGCTACGGGCCTATTAGAACTGAACAGTTAGAGCCCTTTTCGGCAACGTTAAAACATGCCTCTTCAAATTTTGTCGTTTTGTTTAGAAATCATATTTCTACAGGTATATATGTACATTTTATTGGAATGCAGATACTGAATAGGCCTATTCCCTGTCATGCTGTTTTAAGAATAGGCCTATAAACTGAATAGGCCCTATTATGATTTGGACATTTTGCTTATTAAACGACTCAATAAAATGAAGTAGGCCTAGGTCTAAATCTTAATTTGGAATTTAAAATATCACACAAAGTGCAACAAACAGGACAAATATAGGACCATCCTGTTGGGAAACATGTAGGGCCTAACAGGAACGCATACGGGGGGGATGTTTAATGATTTTACAAGGAACCCCTGTTAGGCCTGTAAATTGAAAAAAAAAAGAAGTAAAAATACAACGAATATATGAGGCATATAAGCTGCCTACCTTTGTAAAACTGAACAATAACCTGGGTGTGACAAAGAAATCATTTTGTTTAACCCTTTTACATGCATAGGCCTAGCCTATAGCCTATGTAGGCTAAGTGGATATTAATTATCTCCTATGGCAATGCCGTACGTAGGCCTACATTTTTGTTTCTATTTTTAAAAGTTTCCACTACCTGGGTAGGCCTATCGGTATTTACCATTTAGTCACAAGATGTTGGTCACATATAGAACCATATATAGCCTATCAGGGGCGGATCCAGGATTATTTGAAGGGGGATCCGCGGATGAGAAGGGTAGGCCTAACAGCATGCCCTGCCAAAATGGGCCCCGCCAAAATGTCAAGGAATGACGAGCCAGGCGTCCTTATTTTTCTGCACCCTGAATCTCATTTAAACTTCATTACATAGCATGTTTTCATGCCATGGAACTGTCCAACGGCTGGTTAAAAAGCACTGCTGATTTCATGCAGACGACATAACATCTCACCTGTCGCAATTGCCAAAAACATCTCGTACAATCACGCGTTATCATAACGTAACGTTCTATGAATGTTGCCGTTTCCAAACGTATATATGTCTGCATAGTGTTACTCGTCTAGTGAAGACACAATATCATATGCTTTACTTATAAACAGAAAAAGAATAATTAAATAAGTCTTAATGAAGACAGAAACAAATATTGACAGTACGGATTTGGTCCGACACAAGTTCAACACGCCACACTTATGCAACTCCCAGAGGTCACAGTCATAATGCAGACGATGTAACAGGGACTAAGATTGCAGGCCTGAGTTTACAGTTAAATAGGGCCGATAGAAGGTAAAGCATAATCCACGTAGTACTAAAATATGTTCAATATGTTAGTGCCACTTGCGAGACTTAAATTGAGTTGAACTTAAATTGCTGCTGAGTAGGCCTACTCGCAACCTTGGACGGAGTGGTGAATATATCCCAACTTAAAATTGATACTTAATTGTGTAGTTTTTGCCAAAATGTAACATACCTAACAGCATGAACATTCATGCATTTATTTACCTGTCTTCTGATATATATATATATATATATATATATATATATATATATATATATATATATACAGTGTTTCCCCTGGCTTTCAAGCTCTGCGAGGTGGTAGGCAATCCGCGATCCCAGCAATACTAGGGGGGTCCGGGGGCATGCCCCCCCGGAAAATTTTTTTAATCGAGGTGCAATTTGGTGCATTTTAGGGTATTTAGAACTGATTTTTTTTACATTTTATGTGGCACTGANTATATATATATCCAAGATGGAAAGTGGGTCTCAGGCTTAAAAAAACTGATTACTAGTAAATTGATTATTTTTTTCACATGATAAATATATTCATTTTCAGGTACAAGTGACTGTTCCAGGGTACATGAAGTTCATTCAATGGGTATATTGGTTATACAGAAGATCTGAAGACTATATCATGATGTGTAAAAAAAGAAGCCGCTATAACTAGTGCGGGAGGGATTTTTTACTGACTCTATATACATGTACTGCTGTACCAAACTACAACATATGAAATTAAAAGATCAAAAATTAGCTAAGAAAAGTGGCAATTAAACTAGTAAATGATCAAGTTAATGTCAAATTTATACCAACAGGATGGCTTTCCAGAGGATTCAAAGTGACAGTGTGAAAGTTGCTCACTTTGTTTGTAACTTACAGTCACAGCATGTTCGTCAGCCATTGAGATGCTTTAGGACATCACAGCAAAAGCATCAGTTTCAGAATCACTATGCAACATTAGGCATTTCCCATACGGCATCAGCGAAACAGATCAAAGCTGCTTATATTGAACTGTCAAAGAAATTCCATCCTGACAGAAGCAGTGCTTCAAATGCACATGAAAAGTTCACAGAGATAAACAAAGCATATGAAGTAATTGGTAATGACTCTATGCGTAGGAAGTATGATAATGAGTTCTTTCTTCACTTTCCTTCTAAGTTCAAGGAAAGTTCAACTATGTCATACAAGTATCCCCAGAGTCGCCAAGGTCCTGGTGTTGGGCAGCACTGGAAGACACCTGAAGACTTTGACCGTTGGTATGCTGAAAATTATAAGAGAATTCTTGAGCATCGAAGACAGATGGAGAGAGATGCAGAAAAAAGGAGGAGAGCATTTATAAAAGAAAACCAGAGAATTATGAGGGAACTTTTCAACCAGATTCATGACACAATAGTTGATGGTGGGAGGGTTTTTGCTGTATTTATTACCATTTTTATCCCATGTCTTTTGACTTATATGTTGTGTGAAGCCCCACAAAGCAAGAAGAAAGTATAAACACTTTTGTTTGATGTTTTTATTAATGTGATGCACAGACATAAATGTATGTAAAATTTCATTTCCACTTTAATTATTCCCTTTTTCTTTGGAGTATTGGGGGCCTTTAAAGGTGTTCAAATATTGATAAGAAGAAATCAAGTACTTACTAGTAGTAGTCCCATATATATATATATATATATATATATATATATATATATATATATATATATATATATATATATCCAAGATGGAAAGTGGGTGCTAATGCATGAATTTGTGTAATTGTGTACTAAATGGAACAAATCGTGTTTAAAACCTCAGTACAGACATAACATGTCACCTCATCTGTCTTAATTTGCCATTGTTGGAGTCAACCATTAATATGTATTTTTCACTGTATTCAGTAAATAGATAACTGTGTGAAACTAATATTACTCTCAAACTTATAAGAGTGATCGTAAGGACTAAAATTTAGCTCCAGTTTAAAAAAAAAGCCTTATCTGAATCTTTTCCCAGAAGTTAAAGTAATCAGTTTTTTGGATTTAAAAAAGATATGTGCAAGCATGAAGTTAATTAGGTGAAGTTTACCACAGTGATAATTAAACCTGCACCTCTAGAATGGGCTGAAATTACAGTTTAACATTATATATATGTGTGGTGTTAAAAAATAGAAAAGTTGCTGGTATATACACTGATTAAATTACAAAAGAACTTTTTTCTTTATTATATTTGTTATTAATATGTTATTTTTCTTTTATTTATGCTGTCTAATGTTTAATTCTTTAAACATGATTGTGATGTAAAAAATTAAAAAACTAATGGAGTCATAATACAAACAAGGCACAATATAATGCTAGAATGCTTGGAAAACTAATGACAAATTAAGAAAGCTATCAGGTGTATAGTATTTACATGTTCAAATAAATGACAAATTGAGAAAGCTATCTTGCAAGTGTGTAGTTGTTCAAATAAATGAAAGTGCAATTTATTCTTGCGTATATACATACATGTACATGCACTGGTTATTGTGCAATATTAAGACAGGCCAGTATACATGTATATTCCACTAAATGAAAAATCAAAATAATTACCGAGATTTATGACAAAATCAGTTTTTAAAAAAATTACTATTTTTAATAGAAGTGAAACCAACTCAATATTTTCAACAACTCATCAATTTCTGAATGAAAATTGTGATAAAAATGTTGCATTTACATTAATTAAAAAAAAAATAAATAAATAAATAATTAAAATATTGATACATTTACAAGGTTATACTCTCAGTATATTATAGATGTATATACAGTGCATGTATAAGTACATACAATAATAATAAGAAGAATAAATGATACTTAAAGAGGGTAAATTATGTTAAGTTTATACACTTATCTTTCACATGGCTCTCTGAGGGGTTAGTATAAAATATTGTGTCAATGAATAAAAGATACATAAATTAATTAAGATATGAAGTAAAATTGAATCAAATTAAAAGTAATAATAGTAGTAATAATAAAGTTATAAGTAAAAGTATATACAACATCTAAAAGAAAGGGAAACAGTTAGTAACATATGCAACACATAGTAACAGCACATTCTGTAGTACTTCATGTACTTTCACAGCACATCACGTGCGGCATAGACCTGCGCAGTAGCGTCAATGTTTTTGGTGCTGGGTCAGACATGCGCAGTAAGGTATGTGCCTGGATTGTGTAAGCGCACCTTTCGGCGGCGGGGTGCTGGTAAGTTCTAACTAACAATTAAAACATTACATCTTTAACGCAAGTAAGGAGTACTTGTGTTGAGTTTTCAGACACTTGTGTTTTTTAAGCGAATTGTTATTAGATTGTTTAATGCTTATTACACGAAAGGGGACGTAAAGTTGTGCCAACAGCAAGTTGAATTGAAAATGGCTGCACTTTCGGCACATGCGCGTTCATACCCCTTAGTCGACTTGAGTGTTCTGTAAAAGTACCCTTGGAAATTGTATCGGCACCTAAATTCGTAAATATTAAAAACAACGACATTCATAACATTCTATCTTTAAGATAATTCCTGTTTTATTGTTTACATGTTTCTATGATAATCATTGCGCACTCTGCAACTTGCTACGTGCTCAATAAACGACCTTGGAAGTTGAATAACGATAAACTTGCTGGTGCTCTGTGTATGATTACATATGTTATTTTCGTAGGTACATATACTGCTGCAAAAACACAGAGGAAAGGGCTGCAATATATGATGAAAATAACTAAGCAGCCTTGCTAAACCTCAGCTCGTCCTAAGGGTCTGCCCATGACTTTTCCAAGATCCCACTTGCAAGGTTTGACACAATATTTGTGTCTTGGATGGTCATACATAAAGCAAGGTAGATTTGCTTATACTGTTTGGCATCGTAGATGTTTGTACACAAATAAACAGCATAATCAACATTTTAAAGACCATTATAAAACCCTCGGTGTCCACCTTGAAGCTACACCACAGGAGATCAAGTCTGCTTTTTTTGAGCTCTCAAAAAAGCTACATCCTGATAGAAATAAAGCAAAGAATGCCCACCAGAAATTCACAGAAATAAATGAAGCTTATGAGGTCATAGGAAATCCACTGTTGAAAAGAGAATATGATGAAGAATTCAGACTGCGCAATACTTCTGCCTTCACTGGTGGATTTTCCCGGACTGAGTCTGGTAACAAGTCAGAACAAAGGTGGAAATCTGGTGAAGAATTTGAAAGATATAGGCGTGATCAAGCAGAAAAAATAATGAGAGAAAGAAAGCAGGCCATGAGAGAGCAGGAAATGCAGATGCAGAGAATTTTACGAGAATCGAGGGCAAAACTTTGGGAATTCTTAGACACATATATAAAAGTGTACGCAGCATTGATCACAGTTGCATTTCCACTTTTTCTGTCTCTCATATATTCCTTGTCTCCAAAGAAAAGGAAAAGTATACTTAATAAGAAAAGAGAAGAACACCGAAAACGCATGAGATCTGTGCTTCATGACTCTTTTATGGCAGACATAAACAAGAGTAAATAATACTGGAAATATGTTTACTTTTGAGGAGGTGCTTTGTTAAGTTTTGTAGTATGTTAGAATTCTGCTTTCAATAGAATCTACTGACAATGATTATGTTTTCCTTTTATTAATATTCCATGTTCTTTGTGCAAAGTTAGAAATATCCAAAACTTGTTACAAGTCTCAAGAATTGTAAGCCCCAAATATTGTTTGTTTTTAAATGGCTGCAAAGGTTTCCATAACCAAGACTGTGTAGGTTCATTTGATATGCCTGCAATTCTATAAATAAAGCATCAAACGTAAATTTTGTTAGATTGATTTTTTTGTAAGTAAGCATTCTTGTTCCAAATTTATTTATCTTGAACAATTGCTCATTGTAATAACCTCTGCCAAGGAGGTTATGTTGACACCCCTGTTTGTCTGTCTGTCTGTTTGTTTGTCTGTCATCAATATAACTCAAAAAGTTCTGGACCCATTTTGATGAAATTTTCAGGAACTGTCAGAAGTGGGCCAAGGAAGGGATGATTTGTTTTTGGTGGTGATCCAGATAAATAATCAATCAATGATTGATAATGTCGAAAATTTAGGGGTGAAACGGCATTGGATGGAGACTTTGCTGCTTTGGCAGAGGTCTTCCCTCTCTGAGTGCTTTTCTAGTTTTTTTTTATTGTTTTTATCCCCTTAATTATTCATATTTTAGTAAACTGACTTCAAAGCATTTTGCTATCTTATGGCTTACAAGGTTTTCTGTGAATGCCGAAAAGGAGAAACTTTTTTTACTTTCATTCCTTCAAAGTCAAAGTAATAAAGTTTTTGATTCTTGCCCAACTTTTGCCTGATTAGTATTTCTCTCCTGACGTAGATGAATATATAATCCAATAAGCCATGTATTCTACAGCTGGTTAAAAGTTGGGTTGCTTTATCTATTTAGGTTAGAGATCAGTGCTGGTATTGGATGCCACTGCCTAGTCAACCATTGAACCTGATTCAAAAGGTCCCTATAGAAGACCGACAGTGTGTACTGAAAAAGCCATTTATAAGGAGCACTTCCCTCTAAGGTACTAGTATGAAAGTATTGCTCCAAAGGTCACTGCTTGACTTCACACTTAACACTGAAAAATATATTGACTTTGAAGTGGTTGTGTAATGGTGATTAATGAAATGACTGACAATTTTGAAAAAAATTGAAAGTTACAGCAAAATTATATTTGTAGAGTAAAGCAGCTGTCCTTGTCAAGCACTGATCTTTAAGTTGTTTTATTGTTTCTAGTTTAAAAAAAATTATTCTTAAAGTCTAATGATTTTGATTTAAAGTTGAAATTAAAGATTGGAGTTGTGTACTTGTGTTTTTTACACTGTTTTAAGTTGATGTCATTTTGACATGATTCATTATATGGCACAGACATCTTCCTAAGTTCAAACAGTTTTGCCTGAACTAATATAAAACTTACTGACCTTTTAAATTCTGATGTAGCTCTTAAACTCAAGTCCCCATGTTTTATTTCCAAAGTGAGCTGATATATATATTAGGAATGCTTGAGGTTTAAAAGTAGCATTAAGTACAATATTTAACCTCAGTAATGTGTATGATAACAGGTGGAACATACCACCTGGTTTTGTAATGATAAATACTTAAGACTAGAAATGAGAATTGATTAAGTTGATAGGCCGAGAGAACAACATGATGGCAGAGTTCCTTCTTTCAGATTCCTATTTCTGTTGCTTGTCCCCCCAGTTGTAGAAATAAAATGCACTTCTGTACCGGGTGGTAACATTTACAATCATGTGAAGTATGAGATGGTGCTTTGTTTGCTTCTAGGAGATTTTAGGCTAAGGACTGGAAAGTCAGGTGGCTATGGCTGATGTCACTTGAGCCAACAAAGAAATAAAGGTTTGTTGTTGGAAAACGAAGACCTAGAAATCTGTCAGATTGGAGAGAATAGCATTGATTTTTCAAGAAAGGAAACCAGCAAATTGTTTCAGTAACTCTGCCCCTTTAAATTTTTGGGAGACATGCTTTGGAACCCACACATATTTTATTTATTTTGCTGAAATTGACATAACTTAAAAAGGTCAGCTTAGTTGCCATAGGAAAGGAATTCCTTTAAAAGTGATTTTTCATTTTGGAGTTTAATAAGATTACAGTATGAAGATACTGCTGCCACAATGTAGTACATGTTTGAGGAACTGGGTATACCTTGGGAGTTTCCAAAGTAGCGTGCAGTCACATCACAATGGAATAGCGTTTAAAAAACTGCAAACACCATCTCCCAGATGTCATTCCAAAAGGAATGCGAGTTCAAATAAGTTTGGCATTCAGCAAATGGATGTAAGTCACAGACATCTTACACTCTGCCACAGTTCCCAGTTTGGAACAGAGCTTTTACTGATACCAGGATCATTGGCACATCTTGCTGGTAGGGGACATCTACATACCAGTACACATACTGCTCAACAGACTGAGGACTATTACAAAATTCTTGAAATATCAAAAGGTGCCACCCAAGAAGAGATTAGAAAAAGTTACATCCGACTAGTCAAAAAATGTCACCCTGATGTTTGCTCAGATGAGACGGCACATCAGAAAATTACGCTCCTAAATACAGCTTATGAGACTCTAAGCAATCAGTATTTGAAAGATCATTACGATGGTTCCCGTTATGGACACTATCCCGAGTGGAAGGCGTATGCTAACAAGTCAGAGCTAGAGCGAGACATCTTAAGAAGATCTGCTCACCAGTGGCGAAGAAATGTGTATAATATAAACATTTCTGATCGCGAAGATGTAAAATTCCGTAGGATGGTAAGGATAAGTGAAACTTTACCTTTTACCATCCCAGTAACTGCAATGCTAATAGCAACTATAGTTTATATCAAAAGGCAGTTAAAAGATGATTTTGTTGATGATATTTAAGGACTTCTTTAGATAAAAAAAAAAAGAGATGACAGGTTTGATGGGAATGGCCTCTTGTTTACTTCTGAACTACATGTTAAACTGACATAATTCCAAATAAACAGCTTGTAATACAAATAAAAAAAAAAAAAAATATATATATATATATATATATATATATATATATATATATATATATATATATATATATATATATATGTATGTATGTTAGGCACTTAGCCTTAATAATGCTTGCTATTTTGAAGTAAATTACATAGCTTGATTAAGTATCCCACCCCATGTTTGGCAAACATGAAGTGTACTGAAACTGAAAAGTTGAAGCAGGGGAGGTAATACTTAATTATAGGGTTCTGAGGTGCTTTTGAAGATGGCTAAAAGAGACTTTATATACCATAGTCAACACATTCACTGGTTAAATTTTCTGTAAATAAAGAAGATTTAGTTCAGTATTAAATTGTTTTGTTTTGATCGTGCATTCATTTGTGAAAGTGACTGGTCATGCGGGGTTAGAAATTCTTTTATTATGTACAGACACTGTGTCTGTATATATTCTTATTACTGTCTGTTTGTGTGAATGCTGTTACCATTACTGTCTAAAACATAACTGCCAAACTGTAATTGTTTTGTTTTGTGAAAAAAGGTTCCTTGCAAAAACAACAAGATTGGATTTTATCTATGTAAATAGTGATGCAGTGTATATTCATGTTTGGTGTCTGTATATTTGCAGCTTAGCTGTATGATTTACTATAATTCTACCCAGGGGATCTTACTTTATCCTCAGAGTGTTTTATGTCATAGGGCCATTCAGAATGGATGATCCGTTTACCAACTGATCTGCTGACTAAATATGGCCGGCGCCCCACTTCAAAAGCGATGCTGCTAATTCCATGATGGTCTCCCCACCTCCACATGCCGTTGTTGCAGGGACCTGGCAGTTTAAGCTCGGAGTTGAGATTTAATTATTTTATGGCACGTATGAAGGCAGTGAGACCATCAAGAATCAGAGGCATCACTTTTGAAGTAGGGTCGTCCCTATTTAGTTAGTGGTACAGTTAGTACTATACTTCTCTATTCTGATTAGCCCCACATAAATTTCACTTGAATCTTATTACTCTAAAGTAAGATCAAACTGATTACCTCTCTAACTTGAATGTTCTTGTAAAATTAAAATCTTTGGGATGCATATGGCCACTGGTGAATATCTAACCCCAAATTATCTTTCCCTTTCTTATAGGAGGAAATACTGAAGTTGGTATTTCAATATGGTTCCATGGGACATTACAGAAGCACTTAAGAGGAGCAGGACTTAACTAATTGACTTTATTCAAGGCATTTGCTTTCTGAATTTCTGCTGGGCACAACATTTTTCAAAGATAAAATGACAGCAGCCTTTTGTGACAAAGTTTTGCTCTTGGCTTCCTCAAATTTTCAAAAGAAGGTGGTTCCTATATATTTGCAATGCAAACAAATACACGTCGGTGACGTTATCAGCAACAGGTATGCACAATATTACGAAATACTAGGTTTATCAAGCAGTGCATCACCGGAAGATATCAAAAAAGCATACTTGTCTCTTGTGAAAAAACATCACCCTGATGTGAACCAAGACAAAAATGCTCATGCTAATTTCAACAAAATCAAAGAGGCATATGACATATTAAGTAATAAAGGCTCTTCCTTTGGTACTTTAGAAGCTGAACAGCGTCAGTCTTCCTCCAGAGTGTCTCAGTTCAGAAAATCTGCTGCTGGTCACCAGGAAAAATTATACAAAGGAGTGAAAGACTGGGAGAGAAGGGCTGGCGCCAACAGGGCCAGATTTGCTCCAAAAGATGGTCAATTTGCTCGTGGACCACAATATGGCAAAGTATATGATGACATGAGGCGTATGTATGACATCGAATTTGAAAACGCGAAGGAGGAAGAGATGATGAGGGAAAAGGCACAAGGATTGAATAACAAGTTTGGAGGAAGGAGAAGAATATTTAATTTTGAAGAAAGTGACTAAACAAAGTTTTTTAATATGCCTTCCACATTAGAGAAGTAAGTAAATTGTGAAGATGGCATGTTGCAAAGCTAAGTGACTTATGAACTTAAGTTGGTATTTTGATGAGAGTTGGTAACAAACATAACTCATTAACAGGAGATGGGCATTGTATTTTAGGAGACAGCAAACGTGTCCACCCTCTAAGTCTGACTGAATCTAGCTGAAATGCCCCTACCCAATTCTATTTAGGAATACATTTTACTTTTTTTGAGGAGTTAATTGTTGTGACAATTAAAATAGAAACAAGTTGAAACCAGTTTTATTACCTTGTTACACAGTATATTGTACAGTATGTCTTTGAAAGTTATTTCAAAAATCAACCTGGGAGCCCTTCCCTTTGAATTATCAAGATACATTCGTGGTTTTACCAAAGTGTTAGTGGTAAAAAGAGGGGTTCAACTGAGGTTTCAGGGACAACTTTTCTGCTGCATACAAGTACACACATCTTGTGTGGTTTTCTTGAGAGAAAATGAAGACTATTATAAGATTCTTGGTGTTGACAAGACTGCCTCACGAGAGAAAATCCGAGAAGCTTATTTAGATCAGGTTAAAAAATTTCACCCTGATGTGTGTAAGGACGGGCATGCCCACAAATCCCTAACGCTCATTAACACTGCATATGAAACACTTGGAAATGAAAATTTGAGAAAGGAATATGACAGTGGAAAGATTGGTCTAAATACACCTAGAGACAAGTATGGTGCCAAAGGATATGGAACAAGCTATGGCACAGGTGCAAATTCAGAAAATAAATGGAATGAAGTGCACAAGGACCATTATGTATATAATAGAGAGAAAGTAAATGGATGGGGGTTTCCAAAATATATAGCACTAGATGTTCTTTTTGCATATGTTGGAATATTCAGTGCATTGATGGGCTATTTTATAAAGATGTACAAGAAAAGTAAAGTGCATGACTATAATGAAGATGATTAGCTGGCTGTAGAAGTTGAGGCAAGTAATTTTCCTGCTGCAAAAATGAGAACGAGACTGCTAGACTTGTATGTGCCTGTTATGAGAAAACGGAAGGATAGTTGTATGTAAAAAAAAAGCTATTATATCTGGTATTGTAATGTTGAGTTGCTAGGCTGCTGAAGGGATAAGAACAGGAGTCTTCATTGTTGTATTAAACTTGTTCAGTTTAGGATTTCCAATGATTTGTTTACTAGTATTTAATTTTTGAGTGATATTTGCTTAACATTAACATAACCAACAAATATATTGTGTTTTAATGAAATAATATACTTTTCTCGGGGAGAGTTAAGTGATTAAGAAAAATATCATGATGGTAATCTGTAAAGGATCCCATCTAAGGGTGCTTTCCCAGAGATTTAGATCGATCTAAAGATTAAGTTTTAGATCTACCTAACTCCCTGGGGGTTCACGCTAAATTGCAGTCAGCCAAGCGGGCACCATAGTTAATTACCCCCTAACAGCTTTAAGTAGGCGGGACAGACGCTTAAGCCGGCCAAGCTGACAGTAATCTAGTGAGACTCCCCACAGGGATAGATCGATCTAAAAATCTATGGAAATGGGGTGTAAGTAGTATAGGCCTGACAAGCTTCCAGATATATCTCATGGATTTGCACTTGTCTAAGTAATGCTATTAGAACCATAGTTCAGAAAATACCACCACCTAGAAGCGTAACATGTTGTGCACTTTGAACAGGAACTTAATTTCTTTCTTTTAAACTTTGTTGAGGAAGATATTTACTGTTAGATATAATGTTTTTAATTATTTATGAGGAATTCTGTTTAAATAAAAAGTTTTATTAATATCAAATTTCCTGTGAATTTTTGTAGGGTCTTGGTTGTCAGGGATCCAATTCCCAACTCTTGGAAGTCAAAGCATATGTGGAGGAAAAACTCAATTTACCTGGGGATCAGTTGTGAAACGATGATATATAAGAACCAAGACCTGGACAGTACAAATTATTTATCTTGAAGACTGGAGTACAATTCAATATGGCCTATTTAGTTATTGCTCGCCCTGGACAGTTAATCGAGGCCACTGTAAATAAACATTTACGATGTTTTGTAAAAGAGAAAATCATATATCAGAGCTGTCTTGGACTATGCAAAAATTTTCATGCATCAAGTAGTGCTTTCCTTAAAGAAAGTGAGGATTATTATAAAATTCTGGGCGTGGACAGGACAGCCTCAGCAGAAGAAAGACGGAAAGCTTATTTGATATTAGTTAAAAAGTATCATCCTGACGTGTGTAAGGAAAAAAATGCACATCAATCCTTTACACTCATTAAGACTGCCTATGAAACTCTTTCCAATGAGGAATCCAAAAGGCATTATGATAATATTTTAAGATCCAGATATGATTTTAAAAGGGGAGGATATAAGGAGAATTGGCAATATGGAAGGAATGATGAGACATATGGAAAAGCTTATGATCAAAATAGATGGACAAAAAACGGTACTTTTTCTCCAAGGAAAAGAAAGGGAATGAGTTACGGTCTGTTCCTGATGTTGCTCTATACAGGCTTATTTTTGTCTACCAAAGTCATGTATCTAGTTTTACTGCAAGCTAAGAAAAAAAAAGAAAGAAAAGAGTAATTAATAATAATATTATTCAGACAAAGGAAAATGGTGAAAAAGAAGTCTGCCTGAATTAGTTAAACATTGAAAAGATTCATTGTGATGGGGCACAGCAAATGTATTCAGCACTGCAAAATGAAAAAGAAACTTATAATAATAATAATAATAACCCCCTTTCTTCATATGCTAGATCTGCCTAATAATATATTCTGTTTAATGTAAGGAACATGAAAAATGTAAACAGTTAATTTTTTGCAGTGGCATTAAATGAAACCCTTTATGGGACTTGACTGAGTACTTTTTGTTTGTTTTGCACTGCTTATGGCACTGGTTCACAAGATGTTTTTAAGTTCGTGTACTGCAAGTTGATCTTTGTATCATTCACATGTAGCGTGGAATGGAATATCAGGACCCCCTTTTATTCACCTAGGTTTCGAAAGGGCTATTTCCTTTAGTTTGAGTTAGTATGATTTTTTGCTCTGCCTGCTAGGTTCAAAATGTGCGTCATGTGTTACAAACCTACCGAGACTGGATTTTGAAAATAGAAATGTGACAGAAATGCAAATACAATATATTTTTTTGCATTTATAGGGAACCTACGTTGGACCAAGTGTTTGTGAAGCCTATCCAGTGATGATGCAACATCAGTATATTTCTTGAAGTATCTACAGCCTATTTTCTGAAGCATACAGACAACTTTGGCATGAAATGCTATGAAGCTCATATAACTTTCAACAGAAAAACCAAAAATTGAAATTCAAAGGAAGTTGGGGGGGGAAAAAAAGATGATATGAAAAAAAAGTTTCCATTCTTGTCTTCAACAGAAATGAGGAGGTGATTAACTGAAACCAGAAATGATTTTCATTGCAAGAGAAAATATGTTTCGACACAAAGGATTCTTGCTGATCAAGGGACATGTTAGTCGCTCAAATGAACTTCACCAAAGTAGTATTCTACTTAGCATGCAGGGCAAAGATTTGTATGCTGTATTAGGTATATCAAAAAATGCTACAAAGGATGAAATTCGAAAAGCTTACCTAGATAAGGTGAAAAAAAACCACCCAGATGTGAATAAGAATAAAAACGCTCACTTGATCTTTACACAAATTAACAAAGCATACGAGACTCTGAGAAATGACACATCAAGAAGGGACTATGATAGATCTATGAGTTTTCAGTCATTTTCCTCTTCTACAGTGAATAGAAATAGGACTTATGCAGACCATAGAGATTATGGAAGTAAATATAGGCCGTATGCAGAAACACGGGAGTACAAAGGAGGTGGGCCCTCTTCTCGATACCAAAATCCATATCAAGATACTCACTATAATACACGCAGAAAAGATGAGCACTTTTGGTACGACTTCTGGGAAGAAGAGAGAGGTGGGCCCTCTTCTCGATATCAAAATCCATATCGTGACGCTTACTATAATACACACAGAAAAGATGAGCACAATTGGTATGAATCCTGGGGAACAAATCCTAACGAAGCTAATGAGGATGAGAGAATGAGAGAAGCAGAGGAATATTTTAATATGAAATGGGCTGCAGAAGAACTTAGGCGTCGAAAGGACAGAGAAAGAATCTGGGAGAATATTGAAAGAATGAAAGCCCAAATGAATGCTTCAAGAGATTCATTTTGGCATGGTGCACGAAGTACAGGTTTAGGTGGAAGACACAAGCAAAAAGCAACCCAAGCAGAAAACTCTTACTCCAAGACCGACTTCTCAGACAGGAAGAGTGAAAAAAATGGTACACGTAGACGGAAAGATTATGCAATACTGGGGGACATTTTATTTATAGCATACATGATTTGTTTAGTAGGTTTATGGTATTTCACAAGAGATGCAAGGAATCCAGAGAAAAGAAGACGCAGAGAATCAAAGTCAAAAGAGAGAGGTCTATGAACAGAAAGTTGCTTTGTTTGCAATGTTTAGTGTTTAGTAACTCGCATTACTGAAAAATAAGGGTGAAGGAATATATTTCTTTGAGACTTTGTAATGTTCCTTTATGGACTTGATTACTCACTCACAATTTTGTGAATTTGAACCTAGGGACAATAAACAGGGAGGTTTTTAATACCCAGTGAAATAAAGAAAGAGATGTAAAAATATTGGCATTAGTTGTGAAACAAGGAAGACCAAAACCTCTATGCTTTAAATATACTATCATGTAGAGTGATGCTATAAAAAGAGAAATTGGTGCCAATCAAAATGACCTGACAAAGAATTATAGACAAATATTTTTTTTTTTATTATCATCGTTATTATACATGATTTCTTTAAATTTATTTTCAGATACACAATTTCACATACAAGTCTGCTACTGAAATGTCCATCATTGCACGTAATTTCTGTAGTTGGTCAATTAGAATTAAAGTCATACATGCCCACAAAGGAAAATGACTTGCAAATGGATTGCTTTCCCAATGTAAATTGCATTTTAGAATATCAGGACCCCCTTTTATTCACCTAAGTTTCTAAAGGGTTATTTCCTATATTTCGAATTTGTATGATGTTTTTTTTATCAATTTTGGAGTGAGGCAAGTATATTTTCAGACCTACTCTAATCATGTCAGAAGATGGCACTGTAAAATCCTATTTTTATTTAAGTTCGAACCATTGCCATTGTTCTGGGGTGTATCTAGTGATGTTCAGTATTGAGAATCTTGCTGGTTCAAATCCTCTTTTTTTGTTATAAATCACCATGGTGGTAATCTTCACATTTGGTGCAATGGACACACTCCTGTAAATTCACTGTCTTTTACACCCTGGGAATTGGCTGTTGTTTTCACTTTCTTTTCTTTTGTTTTTTAAGGGGAGGCCCTTCTTCAATTTCTGGCAACTGCAAAATAAGATGTTGAAATTATTTGTTGTCCGTTATTGAGCAATATAAAAATCTACACCCATTCTGTCCACTTCCAGAATTTTTAAGTAAGGGATCTTAAACAAATGGCTTATGATCAAGCATTGGTAAAACCTATCAAAACACAAAAGCAAAGTCACAGCCATTATTTAACAGCAAGTTGGAATAACAGTTGTTTTTTTTTTGCAAAATGGCTCTTTTTCCCTCCCACTTAACTGTGCAAACCATTTTTGACTCTTGTAATACACCAGAAAGGAAAAGCCAAAACAGGCAAGTGGATGCTTCGGATGATTTCTAAAAGAAGAGCCAGCTGTTCACAATGCAATTAAAATCTAGATGCTCCCACCTGATGTGTTGGCAAGTACCTCTGTTATTTTGGTAAAGTGGAATCTAACTAGGGCATGAGCCGACCACCCCCAACATGTACACAAGCCATACAGTAATTAATATGGCAAATAATTCCAACAGTGCAATCAATTACAAATAAGAACACCTTGGAAAAGTTTCTACTGTGACGACAACATTGAATTCTACAGACCTGATTTATATTGAATTTTTATTTGTATGAAGTGACAAAAATTATAGCCTCTTGTTTGCCTGCACATAGCCTTTCAATTGAGTGAGAATGTCACTCCACATGTCTCGTCTTTAAATCAAAAGAACCTTTTAAAACAGCAGTGTATAAAACGTCAGATTAAAATGTTCACCAGCTGTGCATTGATCGTACCTGTGGTGACACAAGTTTGAACTTGATGTGCTGGTGCTGGATATTGGACTGGTCTACGCTGACCTCCACTTTAACTGCATCAAACACCCGAATAATCACGTCTCCTATAGTCTGGACAGTGTTCTGCAAAAACATAAAGGAATAAAAGTTGTAGTTATTCATGCTGTTGTAATACATATTCCTTTTTCGATATAATGATGCTCAGTGGAATTAAACAAAAAAATGAAAATATGGTGGTAAAAATTAAATAAAAGTTGTTACATCTTCCTAATCAAGATGGTAAATACTGTTTTTATAAGTATATTTGTCATTTATTAATTTAATGAATGTCTAGCAAAGATATTTCTTATTGCACCTTCACAAATACATACTTCATCATCAAATTTCATGATGTTCTGATATTCAGCGAGTTTGACGATCCCTTCCAAGCCATACTTCGGGATCAGGACTGTCAAAGCATTCTTCCGCACAAACATCACATATCCATCTTCTATGAGGACTTTGTTTTTAAAGAAAAGCTGAAAGAGAAGCAACTTTATGAAACTTGTGTAAGAGAACGTAATCCCAACTAAAACTAAGACTGGATGAAACAGGATAAATTTTAAGAACCCTGTGTGGATTATCAAAGCCAAAGCCATGAACATATTAGAGGTGGTAGCTGTGTACAACTCATGGTTGGAGGTCAGAATTTCAGAACTTTGAACCAACAACATTTGAGGTCTTATTTGTGTCCTTAAATAAGTCACGTTATACAATCAAATGCTCCCTGAAATCAAATTAACTTTTGTTTCTATTAAGAAACAAGCCAATAACAAAACAGTTACAATATCCGGTGTGTGATATTACCAGAGTGTGAAGTGCCACAGAGGCTCTTCCTGCATATTGCGCCATCTTGTGTCGATAATTCAAATGGTTACACAAAGCCTGAAAGCATACAAAAGTATAGTATAATATTTAACAAACACCCTCTCAGATTGGATTAGAGCTTCATACTCAAATCACAACCAACAACTTACTGACTTTCATCTCTCTTTTAGATGCCACAGTGTATAAAAAGTGTCAAACTGTGAGGAAGTGACCATGCTTAACTTTTAGGGCCATTTAAAGAGACAAATAAATAAATTTATAAATTAACAAACACTGAGTCTCCTTACTTGAGTTTTCTTCTTATCTAGTAGCTCAGGGAAAGAAGCATCTGCCTGAATAGCCACAGCCAGCAGTCTGTGCACAAGAACATCAGGATATCTGGCAAAGATAAAATCCAATATTATATAAATCTATCTGGCATCCAGTGAGGAAGTACAGTGTATATAGATTTCAATAGTGACAAAAAAAAAAAAAATGTTCTGAAATAAAACCACATGCTAAAAAAATAATAATAACAAAAAATATAAAAAAATTTTTAAAAAAATGATTGATAAAATTCCTCAATCTTCGGAAATTTTAACTTTTTTTTATAAAATGCCAATACATGAAAAAAAAAAAAAAAAAAAAAAAATATATATATATATATATATATATATATATATATATATATATATAACAGTCAATAAAAAGAATCCAGTTAGGATTTTCTATTCTAAATGTATTTATTTATTTATCTAATAAAAATCACTCCAGGATAATTACTAAGTCATACAATTATCCACTCATGGTGGTAACAGATTCAGAAAATGTTACACACACACAGGGCATAGGCCCATGCATGGGAGTTCAATATTGCATCATATATTAACCAATATGGGAACCAATATGGAAAAAATGAACGGCTGCTACGATGACAGACACAGGGGACAGCTATGTACAGACACACTGTAGCTGTACATCAAAAGGTGTGTTCATGCACACCCAGAACCTTAGATGACCAATTGTTTCAGGTGCCACTAATAATAAGTCATTGCAGCATTGCTGTGTGCTGAAAAAAACCATACATAAAGACCTGGGCCCCGTAACTCGAAAGCATCGCATACTGCGAATAGCGATATCACATAGAGGCTACAATGTATTATATAGAGCTATGGGTGAGTTATGGAATTGAGACGCTTGCGCTCGGTTGCAATGTGCGATGCTTTCAAGTTACAGGACCCTGATTTCTTTCCAAAGAGACAACACCATTACCTTCTGATAGGTGAAGTGAAGTGAGTGTATATTGGTGCAGCTAATCCATAATGGTGGAACTCTGCATACGGAAGCATCCCACTACAGAAGTACAGCGCCTGCATCATGCACCTAGTTGCTAGGATACGTAGCATGGTGTTAAAGTACGGGTTTTCTGTAAGCTGCGCACTGGCCAGGGAGTTGGCCAAATCTTTGGAAGAGTCCACACAGAAATCAAAGCCCTGTAATGAGGTTTGTAAGATTAACAATCCATTTGTGAAACAATGATAAGGATGATATGCATTATTAAGTTGATTTCTTGGAATCAAATATAGTTTCAAATAACATTATATTGTCATAAATGAAAATTATCAATTTACACATGTTGAAAAACTTGTGTTTGATTATTTTCATTTATGATCGAACTACCAAGCTAATGAACATTTTTGCTCATTTGCAACAATTTATTGGTTCCTTAATATAAAACAGTCAGGGTGCCATTTCATATGCAAACATTTGATTTGTCTAATGTAAGCCTATATCATGAACAGTGAATAAAAGAAAAAGTAAGGGCGTGGCTGGTAATTAAGACTCTTACTTGTTTTAAAATACATCAAACTACATACCCTTGCCTCAGCAACATTAATGACTGGTTTAAAGTTGGAGGGGGGAGGAGAAGGATGCCTCCTCAACACAGCACAGTCGGGAAATTCCTCATAGATCTTTTTAGCCACTGAAACATTGGCCAGCAACATGAACTCCTCCACCATAGAGTTGGTCTCCCTAAATTGGTGTATAAAAATCTATGTTTAAACTCAATAAGAATAATAAATATGTACAGAGCTATTCTAATGCAGAAAAAATGTTAACCATATAAATCAATGTCAGTTTACCTGTTTTTGCTTTAGATACTGCAACACTGTCCTCTATATAAATTCAATAAATGTAAATAAAATATTCATGCATATGTGTGTGTGGCCAAGAAAGATTAGGCAAATATACAAAATAAACATCACCACTATCTCTTGTTTTGTTCATAACTAATGTCATACAAATGTTCTTACATCAACTCTTTTGATACAACATCTATAGGATCAGCAGTTTCACTGTCAATATGGAATCTTACTTCTGGGGATGCAAGTGATAAAGAACTGAAATTAAAAAAAATTATTTAAGCATTAATATTTTGGGCACATGCCTACACACCACAACAACATAATAAAGTTTTTATGTTGATTACAATCACTTATCTGCATACTTGAAACAGACAACTTAAAATTTAATTATAAATTTAATAACTTTCATTTAACATACTTAGCCCCACAACTCTCTCCTTAACTTAAACTGCATATTTTACCAAGTGCCAGTATGCATATAACTTGATACACATGCACGTTTAATCTCACCCCCCTCCATTTTCAAATGAATACAATCAAAATATATACAGGGGAAGATGCTCACCCCTTATCAGTTCTTCCCTGTTTAAGAATTTTAGCTAGTGTGTTAAGGCCTCGCAGACTTTGAGCAAGCTCATCTTGCTGTTTGCTGTCATCTATTTTCATCTGAGCTTCAGCATATGTAAGAGAAGCCTATAAATACAATCAATAATTTCACTATTAAACATATCGATCACCCACCGGAAACTTATACCTGGTGAAGTACAGATAAAATTCTAGACAAAAATCCTAAACAAATTTCATCTTACAGTGGAAATAAAAGCCTTTGACTGCAAAAAGACAGACAAATGAAATTCAAATCTTAAGAATCATTGGAAGAATAAATCTTGGCATAGTTAACTTTAAATAATTAAAAGTTTGGGTCGGTTTGGTTGATACCCAGTCTTGAGTACCTTTGAGTTTATGATGCTCTTCATGAAGCGAGTGCTTATTATTTCAGCTTCTTTAGTCATCTCCCAAATCACAGTGAAAGCAAATCTGAAAATCAATCAAAAACCATCACCTTGCTTGTTATGTTTAATAATAATGATCATTATTTCTAAGTTCTATACTGATTTTCTTTATGCATCTACATACAGATAATGCATAATAGCATACCATTTTAAAAGATTATGTTATTTTAACATAGTGCTGTATGTTACAGTAACAAAAACACTCAAGACAAAATAACTGCTGAATTATCATATCCAAAGTGCCTTAAGCCCCTTAATGAGAAAGAATATTGCCTTCCTATATATTTAAAAAATGAAAAAGTATATATACATACAAATTTACACCTGTGTACATCTAGACCAACTGAGGGCTAAATAAAATTAACTAGGATGAAGTACCAGATGACTACTCTAGACAGGGGCCATCTTTTTGTCTCAGAATTTGAAGTCTTTAGTTAAGTGATTGGGCTATCCAATGACTTCCATTTATCCGTTTCTCAGAAATCTGAAGCAGTCCAGTTGTTTACTTTGGTTCAGGTAAAAAATAATTTGCTCTGTATTTGGTCATCCTACCTGTCAACATTGGATCTTAGTGAGCACAAGTTGGAACTTAACAGTTCTGGAACCATGTCTATTCTCTGAAATCATTCAGTCTATTAATATATATAATTATAATTACTGTTTGTCGTTGCAACTGATGTTAATTTTTAATACGTGTGCCTGTATGGTTTATATATCTATATTTTAAAACACAACTTCTACATTTATTCAGGAAAACTTGAATGTAAAATGAAACTGCATGTATGTATTTATCTCCCCCCCCCCTTCTATTTTTTTTCTGCAAATACCATGTTTAAATTCAATTACTTTGTCTATAAGATATACTGTGGTCCCTCGTTTCCTAGCTTCCTCATCAATAGCTGTCCCAGGCCTGATGAAGTGGGTTACATCAGCTATGTGGACACCAACCTGTCACAAAAAAGAACGGCTGATAAAGTAATTAATGAATAACAATATGGTGATGATGATGGAGAAGAAGAAGAAGAAAAATAACAATAATGAGAACAATTACATACTTTGTTTGTAAATACAATAAAGCGTTTTCAGCTTTGCCAAATTACTGTACTTTAAAATGTTAAGAACAATGAAGAAAATTGCTGTCTCAGCCCAGAATAGGAAATGGAGCACTGGCTATTTCAATTAAATATAAGTGATAATTTAAATTTCACTTGGGTCTGTTTGTCACCTGTGCTGAAGTATCATTAAGTAAGAATCTCAATTTACAATACCATATACCCTAAATGTATTTTTCAATTGATTGTATTTGGGTCTTGACAGTAAAACCAGCACTTATCAAGGGTATATTTTCTGACTAATTTCCATTGTTTATTAGTCCCGAAATTTCAAAATAAATTTATAAGGAATCTGAGACACAAATTAATTCAATAATAAGCACATATTTTCCCAACTAAATGGCATTCCAGCACAGATATTTTCCTTTAAAACAAACATAAAAATAATTGCTTTTAACCAACCATACCTCAACATTTCCATTGTCTAGTGGTTTGTAGTGCAAAGCGTCATCTATATCAGTGCACCCCGGAGGATCAACACTGCAAATATGAAGATGGCGGAGGTCTGTTCTCTTCTTAACATCCTAAAACATAGGAATTGTGATTTATATAATCCTTACTGAAAATGACAGTTCACAGACATTGATTATTATTATTATTATTATTATTATTATTATTTTTTTTTTTTTTTTTTTTTTGTGATTCAAGCAACTTTTTCAAGTATTGTAAAAGTATTAACTTACTCCTGCTACATAACAGATTGACATAAATATTATTTATTACGTCCTGATAATCCAAGCATTAAAATCATGCCAAGGTGAATCTGTAATATCAATGTCAATGCTAAGGGTTTTTGTATGAGTGAGCCAAAGAATTTCACATGGTGTTTTCAAACATTAATATATGCTGTTTTAAAATATCTATGAGGATCATATTTCCAATAAAATTTGAACAAAGTAATATTTTATACTTTTTACTGAGCAAATTCCTTCAAATTACTAAAATTTGATGAATGACAATGCATTTTTTGTAGATGATATATGTAAAATATTCAATAATATGACATGCCTCTTCTGTGATGAGCCAGGGTAGTTTAGGTAAACAATTTAACACAGCTGTTGAAAATGGAACATGGGGGATGTCATGCTCCAGGAGAAGAACCTCATTTTCAGTCTCCTTGTCTCCAATAGTTCCAAGTTTCCGAACAAAATGCCCCTGAAAATGAATAATGCATCCAAATTGAAAGTTCATCTGTCTTTTGATAAATCTCTCTCTCTCACACACATACACATCTGAGCAGGATGATTTGAAGCAATAATAAATTTGTTAATCAATTTTTTTCTTACATTTATAAGAAGAAAAATGCAAAGGAAGAGTTTTAAGATAATCTTTATCTTACCAGAGGGTATCTGGAGTTTTTTGGCCAGGAGTCAATGGCAACGATCACACGCTGGCCCTGTAATATGTGGGCCTGCCTTGTCTCTATCCTGATCTTAGGTATTCTCCTTTCACTTGGGACAAAAAGGTGTCTTGTGGCCTGTGAAAATCAAGTGACAAAAAGAGACTGGATGTCAAACCACATTTAATCACAAAAATATATATCACTAGTATAACACTATACAATACAGTATACATGTACATAAAAATAATAAACACTTCAATTTGGCAACATAGCATAGGTACCTTTAAAACCGAACTGTCCATCCAGCTGTGTCTAAAACATTGTTGGAACATTTCCTATGCAGGCAAAACCCCACCCCCCTAACAAGTAATCAAAAACTTGTCAGTGAATAATAGAAACACTTTTTAGCAGTCTCAAAAATGGACACCCAATGGTGACACTGCAATTATGGCAACAATTGTCATTTCTATTTTGTTGCCTAGTAATAAAGGAATGAATAATTGTTTAAACTGTCATTGTTACAATGATTGGCAACAGTGACCATTATGACACAGTAAAAATATGTACAGCAACAATCAAAGCAATAATGAAATTTCAATTGTTGGTCCATCAGGGTAAATATGTCAAAAAGCCATACATCTAACATTTTTTTTAAAAAAATCGGGCAATTTTTTAAAAATTTCTAACTATCTATCAATTTTACCAAAAATGAAGGTTTTATCTTTGTACAGAAGAGTTATTTAACATAGTTTTAATAATAAATCAGTATGAAATTGATGTTTAAAAACAGCTTTAAACAAAAATTCTACCCTTTGTATATGGTGTGCTTGATGCCCTGTATAGACACTAGGCATGTTCATACCGTTTTGATAATCACTGGCAACAGCATTCCACAGTATTGTCTCCATTTTCTCTTGATGATGGCCACAACTTTACCAGTGGGTTGTTTTAATTTCTCCTTCCTGGCTTCTTTGTCCTGAAAGCATGTATGTATGTAAATGTAATTTTAAATATTTTTCTTAGAGGTAAGTTGAATGTGCCTAAGATTGAGGTATGAATTTTTATACTGCGTTTTTTGTTTAGTTTCTGCACATAGCAACCAAATAAATCTGTCAATTATGGATAGTTGAAGGAAACTATCTTTTTCATTCCAAATGAACAACATGGTTTTTATTTACTGTATTGCTGGCACAACACTTGTATACTATTTGGAGACCCACCCACTAATATCTGAATCCAGCAGCTAAAATACTAAAATATTCAATCCAATCAACAACAAAAAAAATAATAATAAATATCAAATTGGTAATAGCACACACATAGTGATGCTTTCATCTATGCTCATAGGCAAGTCTTTACAGCCGACATTTACTGGGCATAGAAAAACATTTTTTTAAATAAAAAACTCACCATTTCTGTCTCTCCTTCTACATCTTCAATAACAAGTGAAGATGGGTAGCTCCAATCTTTCTCTGGCAACATTTCTACTGCTACAACATCCTCGTGGACTGCTCTGTTCAAACTGGCATTCCCTTGTAAGAAGACAGTCTGAAAGGAGAGGTGTTTGAACAATAAATGTCATTTTAAATTTAAGTCAGGTGATACTTTTCTGATCAATTACCGAACAACCAAAATGCCAAGAGCCCAATTTTAAGAATCACAGTGATTTCAATAAAATAAGTCTTCTGCAAAGTTGACCATTTTTCAATTTTTTTTAGAATAAAACTAAAACTATCACACTGTTAACATTTTGTTACAGTGTGTGTGTGTAAGCTTACTTGTGCATTTTTGTGTGTGAAATCTGTGACCTTACCACATCTTCTTTGTCTTGTATAAAAACCACCGCCTCCAAGCAGTTATCCCTGGAGGCTTGGAAGCTGCCCTGAAGGTAACGTCCTGACTTCAAGCCTTTCTGTACCTCTGCTATTGACACATGCTCTGGGAGCTGTACACCTTCATCAAACTTAGGGAAGGAAATAAATAAATAAATAAATAAATAAATAAATAAATAAATAAATAAATAAATAATATTTATTTGCAACCAAAAGTTAGATGGTACATTTTTAATCCTAAAAACAGTAATTCTAAGAAAGATGTATTGGATATTACCAAATTTTATATTATTTTTCATGAAATATTCTTAGGAGTAATCTTATGTTATATATATTCTAATATATAAAAGTACTTCAATATTTCATGTTCAATGTCATGATAATAATACCCTGGCATTATACTTTCATAACCAAGCTTGACAATGTGAAAGGGACTTAACCCTCCTGATTTACACTTGACAGTGAAAGTTGCACCAAATCATTTTTCATCCCACTTACTGCGTTGCTAGGCTTACTGTGGGCCAAGCGATCCAATAGCTCTGGGTTGTCTTTTAAACTGCCCACATATTCTGCCACTGAAAGACAGAGTATTAACTGTTATTGTATTTTGATGTGGCACTGGTAAAAACAAAAACTATGTTAGGCTAATCCATAGCATAGCTGGTAGTATCAAAGCGAAAAAAAATACATTTTTCATTATCACAGGCGGTGGTTTTGTATTAAACAATATATAAAGGCAAGCAAATGTTCCGAAAAGTCAACATTCAAATTTAATGACCTGTAAATGCAGTCACTCCATCTTGGCTAGCTTTGACTTTGTTGTCTGCATCATTAGTAAGAAGGATGACTTTCACACCAGTATTGAACAAGTGTGTTTGGAACCATTTAGCAGCAGTTCTGATGGCTCTGTCATTGCGATCATTGGCTGTTTCTCTTGGTTGTCTTTCCACATAGGTATCTCTGGAGGAAAACAGTATAAAAGCAATTAACAAATTCATCTCAGACTTGCTTTTCTTAGATATTGCCACAAGGGCATAAATATACATTGTCCCAGTATAAGTCTTCTTCTACTTACATCATCCAGTAAATGCCTGCTGGGCAAGATTTCCAAGAATAAAATGTTTCAAGCACACAAATGTATAAAAATACCTTGACATGATTAATGTCAAGAACTTTTTTCTTTTTAACTGTGGAATGTAAAAATGAGATTTTTTTCAAGCACTTACTTGTGAAACTCATTTACAAAAGAGAGAAAATGTTTATCTGGATTGCTTATAGCTTCTTTTATTCTTTTGTAAGCTGGAGCACTTCTGTGGCGCACCTAAGTGAAAAGGCACATCTTTAGTATAACAAACTAAAGCTAACAAACATGCAAAAGTTTTATTGGAGCATCTCCCATTTCGATATTCTTTTTTGAGTAACAAACCCTCATTAATTCTATAATAAAAAAATACATGTACAAAGTTACCTCATCTAAAACTGTTTGTAGAATAATGGCATTCTTCATGCATTTATCTTCTAGTATGTCAAGCTGAAACAAAAGTAGACCCCATTATTCAACTGGCAAAGATTATCTATAAAAAAACCCAATGCATTTCTGGTCTTCATGTAGTCGGATCCACACTGGACTGATTTCATTTGAATTATAGTGCTACTCTTTATGTTATTTGTACAACTAGAAAAAGTTATCGATTTATTCTTAATTGTTCACACTGGTAATGACGTACATTAAGCATGCTATGGGTGTTTTTTCTACACTTGCCTGGTGCAAAACTACATTCGTATCTGGAATAATGTAGTGTGGGTCTGGGAAAATCTCGCTGCTTGGATTCTGTGGCCGTAATTCCAAGACTTCATCCTTCTGTGGGCATTCATCACATGCCTCCGAACCGCAATAGATGTCATCTCTCAGGTAGTGTTCTCGAACCACCTTCAGGATACTCCCCTTTTTCGTTTTCTTTAAAAATATTTTAGATTTTAACATGTTTTAAGTTTCTTAGCTTCACGTGTGTACAGATTGGATCTCCACAAATTGGAGAGCAGCTGCTAATCGGCTCTTTTTTGTCTAAAGAGTGTACCTGATACTTGCAGGTTTACCAGTTTAATCATTATTTTATTTTATGAATCCCATAAGATAATTTTTAAACACCCATCAAAAGCAAATGTCATAGAATACTCAAATTAATATTATAAACCTTATTTTGAAAATTAAATGATACTCTTCACTGCCTGCAACATCATTTAAAATCCACCAATCTGAAAGACCTGCTGTGGTGTGCCAATCAAATGGCAGAGGCGGAGCTTGCTACGTCACTGAGTACAAGAATGCAGTCTATTGACAAGCATTGAATAGTGCAAACGACTGTGATGAGGATTTAAATATGTGCTCTCATAATTCTCAAAAGAATCGCTAAAATGGGAACTTAAAGCGAGCAAAAGAAATGCGAGCACTATCCTTAGACTCTTTGCAAGGGACCTACAGAAAAGCAGCTTCCACAATGGGTTCGAAAGGAGAAATTTAGTCGCAGATATTTGAAGCTTGCTGTCGTGACTAAGGTCAACAAAGAGTTTCAAGAGTGTGTCACCCTCAAGCGTGGGTTTTCGTCAATCGAGGAGACAGCCCAAATTAGCCCAAGAGGATAACGGAGATTACGACAAGGAATGAGTAGTATATTGCCTGTCGTCAGATAGTCGAAATAAGTCGCCAGAATGATAAGAAGGGACATAACTGATGACGAGAATAAGAGCACACAGTAGCAGTTGTGCAAAGGAAATTGGGTCAACATTAACATGGCTACTTCCAACGGTAGTCTAGTTGCCGTGACAGGGGTAGTTCTACAACTACTCTTTCTTTTTACATTTTCACGTGGACAGGGCCCAGGGACAGTCGACCCCGTTCAACTGCAGGTGCGGGAAAATGTCGCTATCGGGTCAACGGTCGGGGATATACCAACTCTTCCGAATTTTACGTACGTCCTTAGTGAAAACCCAGGAAATTTATTCAGTCTCAATCCCAACACAGGGATTCTAAAAACTGCCTCGAATATTGATAGAGAAAACTTGCCTACAGAGAATCCTGTGAAAATTGTCGTTTTAAGCAGCAGTCCTATATATTTTATTGATGTTTTTGTGGAGGTTTTAGATGAAAATGATAATTCCCCAGTTTTTCCACAACAAAGTATAGCCATAGAGTATTCAGAAGCCGCAGCTAGCGGTACACAGGCAGTTCTAAGGACAGCCACTGATCCTGACTTAGGATTAAACTCAGTAACTTCACAATACACAATAGTCTCAGGCAATGAAGATAACAAATTTCGGTTAGTTGTCTTCTCAGAGGCATCCCAACCATTTTTATATGTGGAAAATCTTGTGACTTTAGATCGTGAGGAGAAAGATTTTTATCAGCTCAACATATCTGCCCAAGATGGTGGGAGCCCTCCAAGATCTGGCTTTCTGCTTGTTAATATCACAATAACTGACATTAACGACACCCCTCCAGTGTTTGACCAGAGTGACTATGCTGCTCGTGTGAATGAAAGTGCCCCAGCTGGCACCACTGTGATACAAGTCCGAGCCACTGACAGAGACATGGGGTCAAACGGAGATATCACATACTCTGTGGTAGATGATACAGTTCAGTTTGCGATAGACCCGAAAACTGGAGTGCTGACCACGTTACAGAAACTACAGTGTACTGCCAGGTGTGCTACATGTAATAATAGCTGCATAGTCACAGTGGAGGCAAGAGACAATGGCCAGCCTCAAGCCTTACAGGGAAGGGCTTATGTTACCGTGAGCCTCATAGACGAAAACGACCATGATCCTGTCATATCATTCAAGTACATTCCTCAAACTGCGAAAATGGCCTCAGTTTCTGAGAGTGTGCCTAAGGATAGCATTGTAGCTTTTGTGTCAGTCAGTGACAAAGACCAGGGGGTGAATCAAAACACCTATGTCCGTATTATACACGGGAATGAACTGAACCACTTTTACATGGTTTCTCCCATTCCAGGCTTGCACTTAGTGCGTGTTAATGGGAGCTTGGATAGGGAAAGGATTAAAGTGTACAACCTCACAATCCTGGCCCAAGATGGGGGTAGCCCACCCAGGTCCTCTACTGCTCATCTTATCATTCATGTCAGTGATGAAAATGACCATCCCCCCTGTATTTGAAAAAACCAACTATGTTGTAAATCTCAGTGAGCTTGCCCCAGTGGGGAGTTTTGTAGCAGGACTCACAGCCACTGATAACGACACGGATATCAACGCACATATCACATATACAATAGTGTCTGGCAACCAGCAGCAGTGGTTTCAGCTTGATCGTAACTCCGGACTCGTCACCACACGACGTCCACTCGACCATGAGACCGTGTCACAAGTCACCATGAATATTTCCGCCCAAGATGGTGGGTCTCAGCCTTACATATCATTTGCCTCTCTCAAAGTATACATTCAGGATGAAAATGACGAAGTGCCTCAGTTTGAGGAACAAATCATTCATGCTAGTCTCGTAGAGGGCACAGTTTCTGCCTCTCTAGTCACTGTTCTCACTGCAACAGACAGGGACTCTGGATCCAATGGAAGTGTGCAGTATGTGTTTGCACCCAGTGTTAATTCTCAATACCCTCAAACTTTCTCCTTGTCCCCTACCACAGGGCGATTGGAAACAACCAAAGTATTAGACAGAGAAACAGTGCCTTTTTATACGCTACATGTAATAGCTAGAGATGGGGGAACCCCTCCCCTGTCAGCTACTGCTACAGTTTATCTGAATGTGACAGATATCAATGACAATTCTCCTGAGTTTTATCCTAAGAGGTATTATACAGCAGTGCAGGAGGGTATGCCCCCTCCAGTGCAAGTACAGCAGGTCACAGCCACCGACTTGGATGAGGGGACCAATGCCCTGGTGAGGTACGCCATAGAAAATGGCAATGCCGATGGAAAGTTCACAATCGATGCTGTCAGTGGGGTTATCAGTACCACACAGGAGCTAAGGCAAAGCCAAGGAACCAGGTACAATTTGACTGTGTCTACCTATGAAGTAGCTAATCCATCTGTGAAGCACTTTGCCACTGTTCTTGTCTCTGTCACCATTCCTGGGAGTTCAGGTCCACAGTTTTCCACGTCATCCTATAGTTTCACCATAATGGAGGATACAGGAAACCAGTTTGTCCCTCGGAATGTAGGCCAGGTACGAGTCACTGGCTCAGTCACAGGAGTCACCTTTGAAATAGCTGACGGTGATCCAAAGGGGGTATTTTCTATTGGCCAGAGCACAGGAAATATAATCACAGCAAAGATTCTAGACAGAGAAATGCAGCCTTTCTATACCCTGAAGGTCATAGCAAGTGATGGCACCTTGTTCAGTGAAAGTACAGTCCACGTGACTGTCACAGATGCAAATGATAATGCTCCACAATTCCCAGCCAACAGGGTAGAGGTTTCTATGCCTGAGAAATTACAAGTAGGGCATAAGGTTTATCGTGCCGAGGCAGTAGATGTGGATTATGGCTCCAATTCTGAACTATCATACATCCTTACCTCTGATGCTAATGGTACATTCTCCATAGGCCAATCAACAGGGGTGATAGAGCTGGAGAAACCAGTAAGCTGGACCCGTGGGGGAGTAAACTCATTCACTGTTCATGTTACTGTTAGAGACAAAGGGCTGCCACAAAGATCGTCCAGCATGGAAGTGACCATTAATGTTATAGATGTGAATGACCACACCCCAAGTTTTCAGCAGTCGAGATACGAGATCGCTGTGAGTGAAGCCCTTCCTGTAAATTATCGTTTCTTCCAAGTGACAGCAACAGATGCCGACGGCGGACAGAATGGAGAGGTAGTATATAACATCACTAGGGGAGGCACAGCCTTCTTTAAGATTTTCCCTGATGGTGTGTTGTATATAGCCCAGGAATTGGATCGCGAAGCTCAGGAAATTTATCATCTTACCATTAAAGCTGAGGACAGGGGTACTCCCTCTCGTAGCTCATTTGTGAATGTAACCATACACGTGCGTGATGACAATGACAACCCTCCACAGTTCACAAATTCTTCCTACGTCATGCAGGTATACGAAAACAGTGAGGCTGGCACCTACATTGGCTCTGTTAGCGCCACAGATAGAGACACGGATCGCAATGCTGAGCTCTTCTATTTCATCTCAAGTGATCAGACAGATTTCACCATCAATCCAACAACTGGAGCCATTTCAACATTAAGATCATTCGATCGAGAGGAAATCAGACGCCAATTTCTCCAGGATTATGTCATGTTTGAGGTCACTGTAATGGACAATGGACTTCATAGGCTGCGGGATACAGCCACTGTGGAGGTGCGCATCATAGATCGAAATGACAACGCCCCAGTTTTTACACACATATTGTATGAAGCTACAGTATTTGAAAGTGCGCCTGTAACAACTTTAGTTCAGAAAGTGACAGCTAACGATCAAGATCAGGGAGTAAATGGACAAGTGTCATATTCCATAGAAAGTGGGAATGAGGACGGGGTTTTCAGTCTGGATCCAGGTACAGGGGACATCAAGGTGGCAGGTCAGCTTGACCGTGAGACCAATTCCACCTATACACTGATTGTCAATGCAGAGGACTCTGCTGACTCGCCATCTTTTACTGCCACCGCCACTGTGAGAATCACTGTTCTGGATGCCAATGATAATAGCCCACAGTTTATCCACACTACACTGAGAGCTGATATAAGTGAAACGGCAACCCCTGGGGAATTCATCACCCAGTTTTCAGCCACAGATGCCGATATACTCAACAATGCTGCAATACAGTTCAGCATTGCAAGTGGTAACACAGACAACACATTCAACCTGGATGCCAAGTCTGGCAAGCTTTACCTACAGAAGAAGCTGGACTATGAACAGACCCCTCAGTATCTGCTAGAAATTATGGCCAGTGACAGAGGAAGTCCTAGACAGGACACAACAGTTATTTTTGTTGTCAGTGTTCAGGATTCCAATGATAACTCTCCCCAGTTTTCCACACAGCCTGCAGTGTTCCATGTTGCTGAGAATAACAACCCCAATATCCCTGTTGCAGTTTTAACTGCCACCGATTTAGACTCTGGAACCAATGGAGAAATAAGATATTCCATCCTCCATCAGGACCCTGTTGGTGACTATTTTGACATTAATCCAACTTCTGGACAGATAATTGCCAAAAAGAGAATAGACAGGGAGTTGATTGGTCGTTTTAACCTCACAGTTAAAGGAACGGACCAAGCCACACCTGTGAACACACGTAGATCATCACTGAAAACTGTCACTATCTTGGTTGATGATGTGAACGACAACGCCCCAGTTTTTACATCACTAACAGCAGCGGCGGTGTCTGTGCTGGGACAGGCAGGGTCTCAGGTCATGAATGTGCGTGCTGAAGACCCCGACGCGGGACCTAATGGGGTTGTCACGTACACTCTGTCAGGAGGAGATACAAACTTATTCACCCTACAGAGCAACACGGGTGTCCTCCTCTTAAAATCAAGCATCCCGAGTTCGCGTCTCAAATACTCCGTCAGTGTGACAGCAACAGACTCCGGCACCCCGAGACTTTCTTCAACGTCAACCATCGATATCATCATCAAAGCTACCACTGAGAATGGGCCCACGTTCACTGGGAACACCCCCTACAGTGGATCGGTGTATGAAAACCAGACCCCAGGGACCAGTGTATCTGTTCAAGTGCAGGCCAGTTCCCCAGGAGCTCAAGTAGAATACTACATCACAGGGATTACCTCCAGTGGTCAACAAATGCCCAGGTATTTCGCTATTGACCGACAGACAGGTGTAGTGACCACAGCAGTGTCCCTGGACTATGATCTTGGACAGCATAGTTTCAGTGTTGATGTTTATGCCATAGATGTATCTGGCAGTACCAGCAAGACAAGGAAAACACAGGTAGGTCCTGCTTTTCTGGTCATATTTGTTCTCGTTAATTTTTTTGTTTCAGCCAGTTAGGTGAATTTTCATGTTTCATCTACAAGTCACTAAATGCAGCTAAATGCATGATAATATTGTTCCCCATTTTTACCATATTGAAACTGGAGAAATTGGTTGATGAAAAATATTTGTCTGAACTAAGTATAATCATTGTTTTATTGAGCACCAAATGATATAACTTGGGGCACAGTTTTAGTCACACTATTTCAACAAACACGAAGCCTGCTCTGACTTTCATTTACTAGTAATCATTGAAATAATAGCTTGGCCTGGTGCCCTTGTGGATAGCATTTAACATAGGTGGAAAGAAAAGATAACGCAGGTCTATGATCAAAGAGAAATAGGTTGCTACATGTCCCTCACCACTCCTCCCCATAATGTGTTTTGGATCCAGCTGTTTATTATCATGTTTTAACACATAACCGTATGTCGTCTCTGTAGTAAAGTATCACCAAACAGGTGTAGGAACAAGGGCCCATTTCCTGGTTACAACACATCTTTTGAAGTAGCCTGTAGATTTCCAGCTTTCATATTTGAGAACCGTGTTTGTACAAAAAGAGTACCGCTGTCTCTGTTATCACTGAGAGGTATAAATTGCGTGATCCCCAAACAGACGAGGATCTTCCCTGTGTTAACACTTGTGAGTTATCTGCAAGGGATTGATGACCCTGAAGGTTGCTGTGCTCAGTTTCAGGTGTTCCTGGTTTTGTTTGCCCTGCTGTTTGCTCTGTAGGGACTCCTGTTGAATTAAGTAGGGTCACAAGTATTAGGTCTACATTATATGGAGGTGTTTGGGCTGTCCTGTTTGATTCCAGAAACAACATGCCCTTGTCTGTAATGGGGCCCCCACATCAACGTTATGAAGCCTTCTCTGGGTTAAGTAGCTTAAACCCAAAGGCAAAATATTTTCCCAGTTGTTAGGAGATTTTGATATAAATGACAGAGAAGTGTAGAAATAAGACAGAGCTATGTATAATTTGTGAGAATGTGAAGGATGAGCTTTATGTTGGGTTATATCTAGTTTTAGAATGATGTTTTACTGTAGACTTTAAAAAGGGTAGATTTGAATTTTAATTCTGACACATTGATCAGAGTAATAAGTAATGCATTAAATATACAGCCTTTGGCTAGATAGCTGAAGTCAGCAAATGAAGTTAAAGGATGTGACTGAAAACAGTCTGTTTCAAAAGAAGGACAAGTAAAGGTATTTCCTTCAAAAAAAAATACATATCAGTTAACTTTATCAGAAGCCAGAGAATGTACTAGGTCACACTATTAATCAACCTGCATTTCGGCACAGATAAAATAGCTGAGTAACTATAATGGCCATTATTAAATCACTGGTGCAGTGAGAGATACAAGTCAGACTAAGTTAGTGGTAGGATGAGGAAGGAAACTGGCTGAAATTTAGAATAAAGTTAATTCCAGTATATTTCTTTTTGCTGTGATACTCTGCATTGTATGTATATATCCTAGGTGTGCAGTACTTCATAAAATCACTAGTAGGTTATCTGTGGTCTAAAAATACCCCAATTTTACAATTGAGCATATTTATCAGGTAGATTTTATTTATTTTATCGCTACCTGAGCCCTTCAGTGTTAGTCTTATTTTTGGTATGTATGAATTTAGACATCGGTATTGAGATAAGGCTGTGATCAGTCTCTTCTGTTAGTTATTTATATTATCAGTAAAGGTCTTGGGACCTTTTTTTAAGCTGATAATGACATGTGGGCAGATTGACATTCAAATCGCATAGAACAATCTCTCAATAAGTGATTTATAAAAAGCACTTGTCATTTCTGGATCTGGAGGCATGTCTGATATGCTTAATTAAGACATTAAGATTAGAGTAGATATATACACAGACAAACTCCTTGTTCATTTTCAAGTTCTAGTACATGGCAGGCCATCTCTCTCTCATTTCTGTTATTTTTGACACACATTATAAACTTATAAGCGACCATTTATGTGTTTTTAAATATTTTGAAAACTGAAATTAAAGAAGCGTGCACCTGTTTATCAGCAAGTTTTCATCTCTCCCAGTTTTTCACGGACTTTGTGTTATTTGTGATATGTAGCCATTGGAATGTTATCATGCAAGACAGGCTCTCAATGGGCATGTTCACACTGGCCAAGAATCGGTCAGTTAATATTTTGGCATCGTCTAAATCATCCATGGAGTACATTTTATGAGAAATCAGACTAAATTATGTTATCATGTGATGAGAATAAAGACAAACATTTTTCCATGGATCTGCTCTGTGCATTGTTTCTCTAAATATACCATTTGGGCCTTTTTCCAGTCAAAAAGTAATCTTGGTCTGAACAGGCCTTCCAGCGCCGTGTGAGTCTGACCATGTAATAGGAGCAGTCAGGCTACCTGGGATAGAATATAATGAGGTGTAGAGTTTCCCAGACCCAGTGCCCCTGTGTTGATGTGCATTAGGCTGTCTGATCTGCCCTCTCACGCCATGCCAGCAAGTGCACGTCCACTTGTTTTACCCACTGATTGACCGTGGGTCATCATTCACTAATTACTGTGTGTGTGTGTGTGTGTGTGTGTGTGTGTGTGTGTGTGTTATATTGGACATTCAAATAGATACCACGAAGTAATTTACAAGTTAACCTTTATCTCTAGACTAAACAGAGGCCATTGTTACCTACATCCCCATCTTTTGACATTGTGTAGAGTGATTTTATCTTTGCTCAATTTACCTCAGGAATTAGTCCTAACTAATACCCATTTTATATAGATCCAGTGAATTCTCCATTTGCCTGATTGACCCTAGGTGATTACTGGGGCTAATACCCACCTCTGTGTGGCCAGTAAATAATTGAAATGGTAAAAAGCTGGTCAAAGGCATGGTCAGTCAGGTCCAGTGTGGTATTGACCTAGGGATTAGTGATCTCTCAAGCACCTGACTGAATGTAGGGAATGGCTTGTTTCACCTGAAAGATTCATTGCTGTTTTAGGTCTAGGTACAAAAATTGTGGGTCAGCTATACTTTGAATTTTATATAATTTCAGTTAGAAAACAGATTCATACATGGCTATATGTCTGGTTATATTATTGTTGCGATATCAGAAACTTCAATTAGATAAGTGGAGAGTGAAATTCGTGCATATTTCATGCAATTAGTCATATTTCATAAAGACAATCCTGGATGGTGATGGCATGATATGGCCATTTAATATGAATTTCCCAGCTTAACAGAAGGAAAACTGAAAGTAACACACTGTCTGTAATATATAAATTCATTCCTGTGCAAGTTTAGATATTGGGTGAAAATTTGGATAAGGAAGGCTTGTGTGAAATGAGCATTATTTCCTTGTTCAAACAGAGTAAGTGCCTGAAGGGAACCCAATTGTCGGAGCAGTGTTTTGTTAGTTACAAGCCTGCCCTCTGTTGTGGTGATCCCATACCTTTATTTTCTTGGGCCGCCTTTAACAATACAAATGGAATGTAGACAAAGGGCCATATCTTTGAAGTCTTAACGGTTAAATTTAGACACTAAATGGGGTTCTCTGGTAGTGCTGACGCTGATGTAATGATTAATGAAAAATCAAATTAATTTTTTGGTGTATTGGAAGGATTGTGTTAATTAAGTTTCGGGACAGGTGTGCATATTTGACTCTTTTGTTGGATAAGTGTTATGAAAACTTGGCGTTTCTTTTTTATAGAATTTTGAGAGAGTATGCACATCAAGTTTCATTTAGATGAAGGGATTTCTTTCTGTCTAGGAAGAATAGTTAGTTGTTCAAGGTAGCTTTTATATACATTTAAGTTTTGTTATGCTAAAATATTGTATAATCATATTTGTAAACTCAGATTACCTCTTTTTAAGTTCTCATTTGTTAACTGGTATAGTCTTGATTGACAAGAAAAAAGCAGCATTTTAAACCCTCAAAGAGGAAAAAGAAAGTCAAAACCACTGATTTTTCCTCCTTTCCTTCAAAGCACTCACTACATTTACATTTTATTTCAACATTGAGTATAAAAGAAAGACAGTCAGTTGGGTTCTTTATTCAAAACTAGTTTGGCATCAGTATGGAGCAGCCATTTACAACCATCACTGAGTTCTACCCCAGTAGACTGATCCACACACAATAAACTAAGTACTTTTTCATGAGTCCATGAAAGCCAGCATATACAACACCTTGGACAGCTCTCATGTAATAACTCTGAATAGACTTGAATAGCTGCACAGGTGATAGTCAGCCCACTGCAGGGGTTCAGACAGGCCTTCTTTCATCTCTCTTATAGAAATGATACAGGTGAGAGATGAAGGTGTATTCAACGCCTGCCCAGTGGTCCTTATTGTACTGATGTCCATCTGTTCTATTAACACTTCCTCTGGATCTCTGGCCCTTTGTGTGGTGGCTGGCATGGGTTAGACTCTCATCTGCTCTTTGTATCCTCTAAATCTCCAGTTGCTGTGTTCACATCACCCTGACAGGGCTATCTTGGATCAGAAATAGACTGAGACTGACATAATTAGCAGGCACATAGCAACTAATTTCAAAGGGGGTTCTTTTTTCTGAAAAGTCAACCTTTTTATCATGAAACGTCTGTGTACTTATATCAAAGTTTACCCCGAAAAAGGACAGTTCATTTGAATCCCATGAACCTCAATGGCTAAGGGCCTGTTGGTCCTACCAGTTTACATCAGAACCTGGGATCATGCCCCAGACTAAATGAAATACAATGTTAAACTGTCTGGTGCTGCAGTTAAGAATAAGTTGGTCCTCATGTGAATGCGGTTTAGAAAGGTCTTTGGGCAGTCAGGTGTGGTGTTAGGGATGGAGGGTTTTGAAACTTGAGGAGTAGACATCAGAAAGACACGGATTTTGTTTTTTTCCTGAAAAATCTCCCTTGTCCAATTTCTGGTTTGTTGGTGGCCTGTTTGTCTTGAGATTACATAAATTCAGGATTGAAAACAAATTCTTTTGTCTGTAT